TAGGTCCCTCTTCAACCAACTAATAGAATAAAACAAGGGAGAAGGACAGAGAGCAAAGGTAGGGTGGGGCATAGGGATGATCTTCTGTTCCCAGTTAAGGGTGTGAACTGTGTTAACTCCTTGGTAGCTTTTAAATTAGACTAGTTGCCTGATACATTAAATTATAAATAAGGGATTGAGCCTGAAAAATCTAATTAATAACAAAAGATGGATTGGGGTGACTCAGGTTGTTCTCTTCTCCTGTTGTCTGGTTTGTAGTGTGATGGCAGCATAGGTCACTGAGTTTGTATACAGTATGTGGGAGAGCAGCAAACGAGGATCCACTTTTTGATTAGCTGACACCTGTTACCATTTTTTGAGCTTAGTCCTAGGCAGGCACGTCAGAGATCCCAGAAGCACCGGGTTGTCAAATCATAGACATTGTGACTGTACATGACCTTGGTTGTAATACTGTATAGGATTTCACAGTCAATTTCCTCATATTTAAAGGTTTTGTCTTCTAAAAGAACTTTTAAGAAGTTACCGGTAAGTTTTAAAACACAAATTGTTCCAAATCTTTAGAATTTTTCTGTGTTGTATAAATGCAATTCACTTCCCTTTGGTTATTAATCGTCACTTATTTGTCCTTAATGTTTTTTGTGGACTTTAGAATTTCGTGCAGAAGTATGAATGCAGTTTCATTTGTTCTTTTGTAGTGCTTGCAATGCTTGTTCTTGAGATTATGTTGCATTTATGTGATATGTGTACAGTATGCATGAACCCTTTGCATGTCTTACTTAAATGTGTAATGCAAAATGATTATACTGTACTTGTTGAGCTGTAAAAACCATTGTGAAGCAGTTATTCATATTATAATAGTGAATGTGATTTATAGGATAGAAAAGTGTGGTAGAGTATTACTGTATACTTCTGGTGAGAGACAGTGAGAATTACTGTATCAACCCCATCCCAGATTATGTTAGGTGAAGATGAATAAAGTCGATGAGTCAATGGTGGATGATGGTACTGTATTAATGATGGATAGTTTCAATTTTTGTTTCATCCGAGACTTGGTACTGTACTCATCTTCACTACATATTCAGGAATGGAGTGAACTTGAAACGTGGATGGGCATCTACTGTATATACAGTAATATATATAAAGGGTAATAATCTATTTGTATGTTAGACAAGTTAAAGTATTTATTTTTAATGCTTGTGTACTATTTTGGCAGCTACTGTATAAAAGAATGTCAATGTTAGAATGAATTTTGATTGAAACAAAAGTACATGAGTTAATGGTTATATTAATGACTGATTTGATGGAAGGGATGGATGATAATGGCAGTCCAGTATTCACATAGCCAGGGCCTGTACACACCGATATACTGTATTGTAGTTTCCAACGACATTTTTTTATCAGTTCTGCAAAAAAATATGGTGACAAATTTTTATAGACAGTTCGTATATGTTTGGAAAATCTCCATTGTGGTGGAATGTGCAGCCAAGCATGTGATACTGTGCCAGAACAGTCAGTGTATGTGTTTTGAGAATTGACCACAGAAGGTGAAGTAAAGCAGACAGAAACCCAGTACACCCCTTGAAACTGTTATATGTACAGAATACAGTACAGTACTTGCTACAAACTGAAACAAAGGTTTACAGAGAATTGTGATGCTAAGGTTTAACCAACACTGGCACAGGTATATTCTGGAGCCAGTGCATGCCCAATACTTGCCAACAATCAGTAACAGATATGTGACCTACTACCCAAGCAGCTAACAAACCAACAAATGGCAAAGAGGATAAAGAAAAGTATAAGGTTTACAGAGAATGGCGATGTTGCAGTGTGTGGAACGTTTTACTCAGCTCATCTATGATTTCCCATTTGTTACACCAAGACAAAAGGACTCGGCACTAAGCAAGGCCGTCCTTGTCAATGAAGAACTGAATTCCTGTGGTTGCTGAGGCAAGAGAGAGACTGTTGGTTCACTCTGTACTTATTCCTGCCTGAAAGGACCTCAGTTGCTAAAATTTGGCTAAAGTGACCCTGACCTGACTATGGTATTATGTAGATTTATGTAGGAAGTGTAGGCATATGTAGGAAAAAATATCTTAATTCTGTTTTTTAAGCAACTGAATGTAAGTGAAAAGTGAAGTAGATAAGATATGATTTGTGGGTTGTGGCATAAGTAGTAAGACAAAGGTGTCAGTATTGTTGATAACCACTTGAGGGTGTTCGGGTCCCACACTTTTGCCACTAGATTATGGTACAGGTACTATATTGTAGTATGATAGTCCGTAACAATTTTAGAAGTCATACTTGAACATAACATCGAAAATAAACTATAATGAAATATTTATACATTATTAATTTGCAAATATATACGATTCGTCATTTGATTGTTAATGTAAAGTTTACTTCCTGACGTCATCCATTTACCGATGTGGACTATTTTGCTGGAATTACACATACAGATAACATGTCAGTACTGTATTGACTGGAAAGAGTTATTCTACGTACCAGTGAGCTGCATCTAAATATACAGTACAAAAGTTTGCCGAATGAAGCAAATCCGATTATTGATACATGAATATTTATTGGTACGCACCCATACAATACAAATATCTATTGTGATTTACGTCTGTAATTAGCACCAGCTCATAGTACTGATAACTGCCCTAGTCATTACCTTTACGTATGAAATTAAATATGAATGCAAATTTCATCGCCAGGTAACTTTCTGCCATAACTCGAACCTTCTAGAAAGAACTGCGTCATGTGTACTGGCCACTGGGAGGGCAAATTTACTCTTAAGATTTTTCGTTAATCTCGGCCAAGGTAAAAAAAAAAACAAGGATGTTCTTTGGGGAATAAATAACTTAAAGCCTATTGAATGGGAAACTAATGTATTTCGCATTCTGTATCTACAATTTTACGGTACTCTATTGGAAAAAGTGCCATGTAGAATTATTAACGATGTTATACAAATTTCACTGGGAATCATTATAATATGCGTATATTATAAATGTTACCGGACCAGTACATACATACATACATACCGCACATGTTAAGCTGCAACAGTACATTATGGAAATTTTAAATAATTACCTTCATACAATTTCATGGTACTGTGTGCAGTACTTTAAGTGTTCGGTTCCCAACGAGGCAATAATCTATGACTGCTATATGATATTTACGAACGAGTGTTAGCACTATCCCATTTAATATTATATTTACTACAACTATTAATAAATTAGAATAAACGATTACCGTAACTTTTCAATACATTTTATCTAAAGAAATAAGAATAAACTTTAAAATACTAACGAGCAGTGGAAACATTGGGGGGGATGCCTTTTTTTCTGGTTATTACCGCGTTGGAGTAGTTATTAGTATTTTCGTAATTATAGTATTAAATATATTATTAGCCTTAGGAGAATTATGGCATTGCGAAATTCGTTTATCTGTTGTTGAGAAGAAAAGTGGAGAAATAATGACGGGATGGCAACAGGTGCTTAGCCGACATTAAGAAATGGTATTTGGAAACGTTAAATGACCGACCGGTTCTATTCAACAGTTGTTCGTTAGCCGTGTTGGAAGGTGCTAGTGTGGCAGGAGCTCTTAACATAAAAACCTCTGTCAAATACGAAATCACGAGTGAATTATTGAAGGAGGACATGTAGCAGTGGCTTTTAACAATACCCCTGTGAATCACTAGGCGAATTATTGTTTAATTCGCTGACAAGTTTAAGAGAATTGAATCTAAAATTGAAAATGGAATGAAAACTAAGGAACTTTAACGAGACACTAGTTTTTAAAAGAAAATACAAATGTAGGATAGAAATGACGGTTGATTCCTTGTTAGTACAGGAGGAAACTTAATGTGTGTATATTTCTTAGAGTCCTACTGGATTCCTTTCTCACACGTAGGACACCCGTAGGACATTTTATGGCTCACCTGAAGGATTACCACCACCCCCCCATCTCCGTCCCACCCCAGCTTATTTCACCTAAAGATTAACCAACCTAACGCAATTTTTGGGGTATGAGGTTAGGTTAGGGTGGTTATTCTATAGGTGAAATACTCTGAGGAAGAGATTCTTCAAGTGAAATAATGGGTTTAAAGTCACGAACGCTGGGAACTTAGGAAAATATCAAGATACAGTACTGTTGTATATATGATTTATTACCCAAACGAAGCTAACCTACCCAAGACTTCAGCTTAACCCCAGAAGTAATGTTATACTATAGGGTTAGGTGTAAAATTGCAGTTTCACTACCAATTGTTTTATGACCAGAAGTCGAGGTTTTCCCATGATATTTTGGTGATTAACTCGAAAGTTTAAACGGCTATATTTTTTCTATTAAATTTTTTTTAAAGAGTCCACACAAAATTCTACACAAGAAATATAGAGAGGAGTTTCCATTTTTAGTGCAGTACATGAAACCGAAAAGATCCGCCAAACCAAACCCGGCCAAATTGCTCAACTATGATTACCATTCAGTTATTCTATTGTCGACGGAAGTGGCATTAGAAAAAGTTGTTGCCATTGACGAGATATAACTTCTGGTGACCCCAAAATTGTATTAACATAATTGGGTGTGGAGCTGCAATAATACCAGTTTAGGTAGGTTAGTTTAGTTTTTGTGATTACACCATTTAATGTACAGTATGTACTAGTATATAATATTTTGGAAAGTTCTCGGTCTTGTTGGATGTAAACAAAAATACTGGTCAGTACAGTACGTACAGTCCTATTGTTTATGCCATAACCAGCTGTCTAGGGATTGATTTACACTACATTACAAGGTTGGGGAAAGGAATGCGGTCAAGTGCCCCCTTAGTACAGGCCGATGGGACCCTTGTTCACCTTAGAAACATAACATTTTGACTAATATCGTATGCATTTTGATGTAACACGGTATACTATATAGGAAGTTAATTTTAGGTTAAGGCTTATTCTTGGTAAATATTCAGCTCTCTGTGTTTGATCAGTTGTCAAAAAGTGAAGTCAAATCTTTAATGTGTGAAGATTCTGATTGTGAATTAATATATCAACAGGTGAACCAGGTAGATGTGTGTTGACAATGCCAGTGCCTTTTAAGATCCAATGTGATGGAGTAAGCAATAAAAGAAATCGTGTGTATGGCCTCGAGTCTCTACTTGAAGATGACGATTTACCTGATTTAAATATAGACCCGACCACAGGATCTACCTATACCAAAGCATATTGTGAAATAGATGATGATATCTCTTACCTACATACTTATCAACCTGCCAGGCTTTCTGCCAGTCCTACATATAATGAAAAGGATGATGATGTTTACCAATATGCAAAACAACCCACAAGCCATTCTGCTCAACCCACATTACAACCTACAAGCCATTCATCTCCCTTGGTTTGCAGTGAAGTGAAAGACAGATCTGATCATCAGGAATTAAAAACTGCAGGATTGAATTTAAAAGAAAAATTTGCACCTGAACCAGTATTCTTTGCACTTGAATCTGATGATGATAAAAATGAAGCATGTGCAAAACAATTCCCAAGCCAATCATCCTCTTTGGTCCGTGACAAAGAGGTGGTGGCTCATTCTAATACCAGACGAACTATGTGCCGCACTCCTGGCTACACACATCACCAGAATGACACTGCCAGTCTTGATGAACCTTGCACTGCTAAAAAAGTCATGTCTGAAGAGGAAGTCGTAGATCTGACGGACTTTGGTTATAGTACTAAATCACCTGCCCTGGATGTACCAACAACTTCGACTGTAAAACAAACTGTGCCTGATACCGATATTGTGGTGGTATCCATTTATGATAGTGATGTGGAATTATCTAGTAATGATGAGGAAAATGTATGTGGCAGTGATGTTGTTGATTTAACAAGTGAAGAACCCAATCCTGGAGTAGTAAATGTTCTGGGGTCTCCGATACATAATTTAGATTTGCCGAAAGAATACAGTCGCGCACCAAACAAATGCTCGTCGGGTTTAGACATTGACGGCATTGAAATAATCGAAGAAAAACACAATTCCACACACGCATCACCAGGCAGGAAGGTGAGTAAAGCTTGTAAAAAGGTTTCCAACCGCTTGAAGAGCATTTTACTGACCAATGAGGAGTTAATGGAATCTGTCAACTTCAAGGATATAACGAATAAAGTGAGATCCTCGCTTGGGAAAAAGAGCCGCAAGCGAATTAAAAGTCACATGACGAATCTTCAGCACATTGCTCTATGTGGTTATCTCCAGAATCTTCAACAAGCAACCAGATCAGTGTCAGTGTTGTATGAGAAGTTGAAGTGTTCAATGCACATCGCCAGTCATTCCTCCAAAAAACTGTGTGTACAGTGTGGCTGGCCATTTTCATTGGTTTTGGGTTTTACTCATGCGAAAATACAGTTGCTGATGCTGAAGAAATGCCAAGGTTTACACAGATCAATCCGAACTCTTGTCCTCACTCCATTTTTCTTGAGCCCCGAAGAAATAAGTTGGATAGATTCTACACCTAATCAGTGGTGGTCTTGGCTGACAGGTTATAAAAAGGTAATGATAAAGGTTTCAGTATTTATTTTCATGTCTTAATTACAGTAGTATGGAAACATTGATGATGCTTGTCTGTTTGAGAAGTGTGTGTGTGTGTGCAGGTATTTCTAGCAAATATCATAAAAGCTGGTGTACTCGACTGTTTGGTTCTTCTGTGGATGTATCGACATTTAGAGATGATGATACCATACTGTAGTTGATTCAAATAGTATGTTCCATTGTCTCTTACTTGGTGAAAAATTCTGAACAACCTACTTAAGGAAAAGAATAGCCTAGGTTACAACTTGTAGTTTTAATAGGTGAAGAGATGGAGCCTTCTTGGTCCAAGTTGGCTCTAAAAAAGGGGATATTCTGGATCTGTCTTGATTTCCTTTTGTTCTAGTCATTAACCCTGTTTTCTTCATCCAGTCGTAAACCAATTCCCACTGTCACTAATCACAGTAATTGGTTCATTCTTGATTAATAATAATTAATGGTCTTCATGTTTATCCATGAGTTTTGTTATATATCTGTTGGACAATTTGATCAGCTAGTTTGATAATACAGTTCCATTTTGTAGCACTGTGTGAGTGCAACATGTTAAAAGTACTGTACATTCTACTTTCACTCAATTGTGTTGGTTTGTACAGCTAATTTTTCCCTTTTATTATTATTACCACAAGATACTGTATGTTATAGTTTTGTATATGGTGGTTTAATGCTTGTGTTCTGCCCGATGCTGCTATGAAAATTAGGGATCTGGAATGTGTAGAATAAGTTGGATAGGAACCATTCCCCCAAATTCTGTTATGACTTGTACTTGAGTAAAATAAATAGGTTGTTTTTTTGGCAGGTAATGTTAAGACTTGGCAGTATATGTTGGTACATTATACTGTACTGCATTTGTTTCTGGTTGTTGTATAGTTTTGGAAATGGAATGTTCAGTGTTGGTTATTTTGTGTACAGTATGTTATTTATTTATACATTTTGGCAGTGCATGAATTCTTGGTGTAAAATGAACAAGTTTTCGTACAATTCCTTTGTATCGATGCAGTACTTTCAAAATAATTGCTCTATAACAGATGGGGATGCAAGTAAATCCTCTGATGATGGCTCAACCAACCACAGAGGAGGAAGTGGAAGAGGACGAAGACATGGGGATTGCCGAAACATACTCAGATTACATGCCCTCAAAGTGTAAGTTTTTCGCCTCTTTTGGTCACCCATTGGCAATACGGCACTTATATTATTGAGTCGGTCTTCGGTATATTTGACACGGATAGTTTTTATCGAGCCATCTTGACGTGTGATTTCTTATGGTCTTTGCTCATAAGTATTACTGTTATCTTGTTCTCCCTCAGTGAAGGTTGGAATCAAGCATCCTGACCAGGTCGTAGAAACTGCTTCCATGTCATCAGTGGAGCCTCCCGATGTGTGGTATGAGATGGAAATCCCTGATACCTCAATTGACACAGGAAAACTTTCGGCCTTACAGTTAGAGAGCATTACTTATACCTCACAACAGCACGAACAGTTCCTACCAGATGGAACAAGGGCGGGATTCCTCATAGGTGAGAGCATGTGGCTAACGTGATCAGTCGTTATGTATGAAGCTTTCTGCATTGTATCTCGTATTAAAGGCACTCATTTGATGTGGTTATGGCCTTTGGCTCTTCAATCCTTTTTTTTATTTTCATGCATGAACATTAATATTGTGTGACAGTTTTTCTAAAATTTTGGAGTTTTACTTGCGTGTAGACATCAGTTTTTATGGTTCTTGGGTTTTACCTTTTATAGTTACATGTGAATATTTATTTATAGCGGTCGGTTTTAAGAGACTCGTGTATTTATCCATTACGTGTATGGGTTACAATTTAAGCGAACTCCTTGACATTTGATGGCTGGCAATAATCACACAGTCTGTACAACTCTACCATTACAATTTACTGTATTACCCCTTGGACAGGGTGAGAGCAAAGTAAGTCTTGGTGTTATAAGAGCTTGAAAGAGTAACAATTTGTTTGTAATTTAAACAAGATAAAATAGAATGTTTAGCCACGAGCTTAACTTGAATAATCATTGGAGAAGAATGTTTAGAATGTTCTTTGATATAGTAGTACAGTAATAATTTTTATATTTTATTTGTGATTTTTATTTCAGGTTGAATGTGAATTTATATAAGTGCCTCTACCTTCCCTTCTTATGTGACATATTAATACTGTTTTCTTTTCAGGCGATGGTGCTGGTGTTGGCAAAGGGCGCACGATAGGAGGAATCATTTACGAAAATTATATTAAGGGACGAAAAAAGTCGATTTGGGTCTCTGTGTCTAATGATCTTAAATATGACGCAGAGCGGGACTTAAAAGACATCGGTGCAGGACACATTTCAGTATATTTTCTTAGTAAAATGAAATATGGAAAAATAAACTCAGACCTCAATGGAAATGTGAAGAAAGGAGTGTTATTTTCAACGTATTCAGCTCTCATTGGTGAATCAACTAGCGGGCAGGGAAAATACAAGTCGCGGCTAAAACAGATATTAAATTGGTGTGGTGACGACTTCGATGGCTGTGTAAGTACCTGCCAGTACACTGTTTCACCTGTTGTAAAGCCTTGAAAATGCTTATAAATAATTGTGATAAATGTGTGTTCAAGACCTCTTCTGTAGTATCTGAATATGATGACAAAACAAGAATAAACACAGATTCTCATTTCTTTTGTTGTCATTCGTTCTCTTTTATTGCTGTAGCATATTTTTCTCTATTGATTTTTCCCTTCCACAATAAGATCTCAAGGTATTGGGTTTATCTAGGGACAGTACACCATATAGCATCAGCATCCCCCAAAACCTCCCAGTTCCATGGTTTTTGTCAGCCTTATACACACACACACACCTACCTCTGCTCCCTCATCACGTTTAGGGCACTTCTCACCTAAGTCTCCCATCTCATTGATATCTCCACATCTATCTCTTATTATATACTCTTGATTATATTTACGTGTCTCTCGGTAAGTTATTGTCAGCACTCTTGTCTAACCTTCCATTCACTTCCACATGTTCTCACTTGTATTTTTTTCTACTGTTTCCTATTCTTCTTTATTACTCCACTCAAGCATGTCATTTTTGTCCCTCCTTATGTGTGCTTTTTCCTCTTGCATCCAGAGTTTATGCTTCACACACTATACATATATGATTATGTAGATAGATAGAAGTATTTGTAGTGTTCTGTCTTAGTACAGTATTCCATAACAGGGATTACTTATTCTAGATTGTGTTTGACGAGTGTCATCGTGCCAAGAACCTAAGCCCAGTTGGTTCTGGGAAACCAACCAAAACGGGATTGACGGTGTTGGAATTACAAACAAGGTTGCCCAAAGCACGTGTTGTTTACGCATCTGCGACAGGAGCCTCCGAACCAAAGAACATGGCATATATGGTTCGTTTAGGAATCTGGGGGAAAGGTACTCCATTCCCAGAGTTCACTGACTTTATAAGTGCTGTGGAAAAAAGGTATGTGTAATACAGTACAGGTGCTTCTCTACTTAAGAACGTTCAACTTACAAACTTTCAGAGATACAAACATCATCACTGAGGGGGGTTACCTGCCAGAACAGGTGTTTAATGTGGATGAGACTGGATTATTTTGAAGAAAATTCCAGATAGAACAAGAGGAGAAGAGTGAGCCAGGTTTTAAGGCTGTATTATTCACAATATGTTTGGTATCTACAAGAGTAAAGTTGGACTTACCTCAGGAATGTAACTCGTTCGTAAGTAGAGGAGCACCTGTATATAGTCTTTTGTGTTCTTAGTTCACTGAGGCATAGTCGTAAAATATTTCAGGGATCGGGTTTCATAATAGTAGTTTTAAGACTGAAGAACCTCGTCAGAAAAACTGGCCATTGAAGTTATTTGAAATGAATGAAGGGAATAATGTTTTTTTTTTTTTTTTTTTAGTTATGAGGGAAATAGAATCAAAATCATACTTGGAATTTACAAAAACAAATAGGCGAGTTATTCTGAAAGCTTTATTAATGAAACTTGCAATGGAGTTATATTTATTCAAAGACTTAGCTAGATGCAGGACAGTTCGACTCTTGTTTTCCCGTATACAGTACAGAGGAGATTGTCTGAAGTGAATCACCATACATCCATGCTATCTGGCCAGTCCACTGTTAATGTTGTTAGGTTTTGGGAGGACTTCACCGTCAGAATTAGGTGTAATTGAGCAAACTTGTCTATAGTTCAAGTTTTACCGTACCCTGACACCTTTCCATTACGATTCAATAAGTACCTGCTTTTTAACTCGTTAATTGCAAGAATATGTGTGTGTTTTCTCTCGTGTTTTTTTATTCCTCATAGATTATATACAGTGGTCCCTTGGTTAACGAACACAATTCGTTTCACAGAGTCTTTCGTTAACCGAAAATTTTGTTAACCGAATGCATTGTTTCAATGGGATATTGGGTAATTGGTTCCAGCTCACAGAAAAGTACATACAATGTAAAAGAAAATGCAGTAAAGTACACTTTCTTTGAGGTGTGTATGTAGAAGGTTCCTGGTTGATGATGATGATGGGAATTAGAAGTGGGGGTGGAGGAGAAGGGAGAAGAGAAGGAAGTGGGGATGGAGAAGAAATCACCTTTCAGGGGACCCATGCTTTAAGTTCACTAGGTGTAATTCAAGATTATTTTATTTAAATCAACACTGCACTGCACTGTATATTATCAATATGTTAACTAAATTTCAGAATGGCCAATAATTTTAATGTAAAAATGCAAAAATATTCACGACACCAACAAAATCGATGTTCACTCCATTGTAAACAAAGTCAAACTGATGCCTGGTGGGTGAGTCAAGCGGCTGATAGGCGCACAAAAAACTAGTTCCCTGTACTGCGTATATTATCAATATGTTAACTAAATTTTAAAATGACTAATAATTTTGCTATAAAAAATGCAAAAATATTAGAGCACAACTTTCTTGATATTTACTCCACTGGAAACAAATGTAAACATAGAACAGATTACTGAATTGGCAGACTATCCTTCAGCTGATCAGCTGATGCTCACAACAAAACGTGTTTGTCGTAAAGATTTCGTTAATCGAAGTTTTGTTCGTTAACCGAATTGAAGATCCTTTTGGGAGGTAATTTGTTAACCAAAATTTCGTAAATCGAGCCGTTCGTTGACCGAGGGACCACTGTACAGGGTTCATTTAGCATGTTGTTCTACAATGATAACAGCATTTTGTGAGAGGGAGAACGATTTCATTTTTATTGTAATGTGCGATGTATCTTTGCAGGGGTGTTGGTGCTATGGAAATCGTGGCCATGGATATGAAACTTCGTGGAATGTACATCGCTCGCCAACTTAGTTTTCACGGGGTAACTTTCCGAATAGAAGAAGTCCCATTAGATGAAGATTTTAAACACGTATATGATGAATCTGTGAAGTTGGTGAGTACTGTACTATACTGTACACTGAAACAAGAAAGATTTTTTTCATTATTATAAGTTCCTGTAACACTAATAACCTAAAGTAATTAAAGCAAACTATTGTATTAACTATTTAAACAGCCAATACAAGTCTTCATCAAGGTTGGATTAGAGATGTGAAGTCGTGTAAAATGGCAAATTTGGATGTATTGGTAATTGGGTAGGTAGAAAACTGAAAATGATATTGAATTGTAATTTCTTTTTTGTTAACATCCAAATTTTGATTTTGTATGACTAATAATCTTGTTTTTTTTTTTCCTTCATGACAGTGGGTAGATGCTAGACAAAAGTTCCAGGAAGCATCGGAATTGATAAATGCTGAAAAAGGAATGAAGAAGTCTATGTGGGGGCAGTTCTGGTCCTCCCATCAACGTTTTTTCAAGTACCTGTGTATAGCATCTAAGGTATAGTTGGGGGCGCCTCTTTGTCTCTAAATCTTGGAACTAGTCTGCTGTGTTGACGTTACAGTGTGTTTAATTACGTCTACTAATTCAAAGAGCTACAGTTATGAGACTATTCAGTTTGTTTATAAAGTATTGAAGAATTCCGTGATTTTAACGTAGGATTTTATTTTATTTTTTTCCTTCCCAGGTTGATCATGCAGTCAGATTGGCTCGTGAGGCTGTCAAGACTAATCGGTGTGTAGTGATTGGTTTACAATCTACCGGTGAGGCACGTACATTAGAACAACTGGAAAGGGACGACGGTGAACTCTCAGACTTTGTCTCGACTGCTAAAGGTGAGTGTTTGTGTTTGATCTCTGCTGCTGCCTCTTCCACTGGTTTTTTATTCCTACTCTATGTTGTCTCTCTCACTTTGGAAATTTCCTCATTTAAGCTTGAAAAAAAAAGTGAAGTAAGTGTGTGTGTGTGTGTACTCTTCATTCCACCCATAGTAGATAAGGGGCCATATTGTTGAAGAGAAGTACTGTATCATCATGTCCTCCTCCATTTCATAAGCCACCAGTCTATTTTTACATCCTGTTTTGTTTCTTGACACATCCATGATCAAATCAAACTTCACTGGTTTTGGAATATATTTTAAGCCCCACCATATACCTGGAACACCAAAGCTAATGTTTAATTTATTCCCTTCCTGTATATTTATGAAAAAAGGGAGATTGAAGAAGTTGCATTTCATGAGAATTAGTAATGTGATAACTATTTCAGATGGTTGAATGAAAATACTGTATATATTGTAGTAAGAATTTGTGCATCCAGGAGAGTACAGTATGTTGAAGTTCAGTCAGTGTTGTGCCTTTTGTGATGTGTTTTGTATTTTCCTTTCAGGTGTCTTAGAAACCTTAGTGGAGAAACACTTCCCGGCACCAGACCGAAGTCGCATTAATAAGATCTTGGGAATCTCTGAAACCAGTAAAGAGTTTAAGGATATTATCGATGAAGTGACTGGAAAGACCTCGAAAAGAAAACCAGGTAAAAGTCGTGAACATATGTCATCCTGTGTTGCCCCCATGTTCAGTCGGTCATGTTGTCTTACCCCCACGTCCAGTTTTCCTTTGTTGATTGATAATTTCTATGAAATTTATGTCGGGAATTGTAATTACTGTATTAACGTTGCTCCACAGTACGACAAGCAGCTCAGCGTGCGGCAAAGAGAAGGTTCCGGGAGGCTCACTCGGATAACGACGAGGACTCGGACTTCGAAATGTCAGGTGCAGGATAGCTTTACGTCTTTTGTGTATCATGAGTTATTGTATTTGTGTATTAATTTTATGGGAACTTACGACAGATATCGACTGAAACTAGAAAACAAAATTTACTTCCGTTTTTTGTTTCATTTGCGGTAAAAAAAAATTATCTTTCTCTACTTGTTCGTTCTTCCCAACACAATAAAGATGACTATAAGTGTCTCAGTAAGTTGTCACTTAGGGTGAATTTTTTTTTTTTTTTTAAGATCCTCTGAAGGTAATGCAATGCAAGTATAATATAGAAAATACCATAGATAAACATGTGCACAAACTAACAACACACTTGCTCTCTCACTTGTGCAAACTTTTCTTTATTTTTTAATCTATGAACAAAGTCAGTCAGAAAATGTGCAAAACTGCAAAAAAAAAATCTCAAGGTTTATGAAAGAAAAAATGTGATTTGTTCAAGTCTAATGGAACAGATACTAGTTAATGCTTGACCATTCAGTATCTCTCCATTTCCCAAATATTTACTCTTATTATAACTTTAAGAATATATGTATGAGGGATGCTTTGGATTTATCCTCTAGTATGCAGGAAAGAATACATAGGGAAACATTTTACAAGGACAGTTTTGAGGTAGCCTCTGGAAACCTAGGATATCTCTCCTCCTAATCCATTCTAGCATGTCTTGATCATGGGTTAAATGTTTCATCTCTCATCCCTTTGATATGATAAGCTTATGTTTCTTTTATTGTTCAAGAAACATTTGATATATAGACCGGTTGCATAGTTTCAGTTGTTGGAGGGAACTACCAACTAATTCAGTATTCAATCAATTAGTTATGGCAAATGATATAAGATTTTTTAGGAATGGCTTTATTTCATTTAATTTAATTTTCTTTTGCTCTTAAAATTGGTAAATTGTTTTTAGTGGTCTTTGCGTGAATAATCGAGGTTCAACCGTCTAAATTGTTAAGCACTACTCTCTAATATTCACTCTTTTTCTTGCACTGCAGCCCAGGCCTTAGGTAAATCTTGGATGGCTCACTAATTGGTGTTATTTTGTAGCTCTTGTGTTTTTTCCAGGAAAATAGTTACTTTACAGACTGAAAAGTGCTTATTCTTTGTTTGCAACGTAAATTGTTCAATTATTTTATCATACAAAATTGGGAAGATGCATTGCATGCATTATACATTAGTATGTAAGTCGTCCATATATCATCTACACCTTTAATGTGTGGGGTAAATCATGAGCAGAAACATTCATAAATATTTTCATCCTAGAATATATTAATATGGCTGATGCCTTCCACTAGATTACCCTTAAATTATAATGATGATTCCAGGGGTGTAAAGCCTAAGTGTATTCCCTTTGAGGTGGTCCCCAACCAGTGGTTTGAGGGCTGCATGTGGCCCCCAAACCACTTTTTGTGCCGCTCTAAAAGTTTCACGTTTCCTTTTATATATAAAGTAAGAAAATGAAAGTTAGGTGAGTGAGCCTAGTATTATGATGATGATGATGGGTGACCTAGTTAAGATGGATGTTGTGTTGTTACCAGATGGAAGTAAAAAGGAGTCGAGGGAGTGATGGGGCCTCAGTGTTAGGTCATGGGTTTATACTACTTGCAGGCACACTATTAAACACATATTGTACTGTATAGGGTATGAGGATTTTAGCTTAGGGAGAGGTTAGAGCCTTTGGTTAACTCGACTCCTCACCATAAACGGAGAAATTTGCGCAATGATTACTTCTTTACCACAGTAGAAGAATGCCTCGGACTCGCCAAAAAATATAATATATTCAGTTGACTATCTATACTACTATCCAAAATTATGTGGATGTGGACCCCAGTATTAACTTATTAATTGTGTAAACTTAACCTCCCTGAGTGTAAGAAAAAAGTTGTCAATAAAAGACTGGCTCTGATATCTTTTCACTGATGATCAATTCAGTTTACAAACATTACTCTCCTTGAGCTTGCAGTAGTGTCACCATGAATAAACAAGAGAGGTGTTTTCTTTCTGTAACTGAAAATATCAGCACTGTATTGTAGTTTAGCAAGCTTGGTAATAAAACAAGTACTGGATGCTGTTGGGTATGGTTGCTGGTGAAGGAACAAACTTGTGGTGAACCAGCATTCTATCAATGGTTGGGGTAACTCACTAGCCACTGAATGCTGAGAATCGGGATTAGTACCTACCCGGACGCCCCCCAAGAGGGAGGGGGGACTAGTTCCCTGTTTTCTTATATTCTCGGAAAGAATATATATTACTGTATATATTTTGATGCTAGCAAATACATGGAGGCCTATAGATTGAAGGTTGTGTTTGTGGTAATATTTCTCTTTGGGGGGGTGGGTTAGTAATAGTTTTGACATGCACTGTATCCTCTCCCTGATCTTCTTCTATATGGAGAATTAGAAAAAGTTTTAGGTGTGCTATACTTGGAAATGGTTGTGTAATGAATAAAAGTAGTTTTGAATGAATAAACCTGCATAGAAAAGTAGTTGTTAGTAGTTGGAATGCAGTTATTGCATGGAGAAAAACCCAACAAAATGTATTAATGTAAAGTAGAGATACAGTATGTAATGTATTAGAGTATGATTAGTGGAAATTGTGATTGAAAAATGGAGTAGAATAGTGTGAGTGGAAGGTGTGTTGCCTGCTATTAGCTGTACAGTATTATGTTAAAAAAGGAAATGTGTTCAAAGAATTACAAGGTTGTTAGGTCACCAGTGAATGCCCTTACAAAGTTCAATATGGAAAGCAAGTGAGGTCGTACCGGTGTGTAGAAGTGACTGAGAATTCAAAACAGTACAGTAGGCTCTCGCCAATAACGACTTCCACAATAATGTTTTCGACAATAACGGTAAGTTGCAATAGATACCCATTTTCGATAATAACGTCTGGATTCTCTTGAATAACGGAAGATTTCGCGGGAAGCGTCCGAGCGCATCAATGATAGCGTTTGTTTGCCGCCATGTTGATGATGTTGTCCACTCCACCTCACTCTCACTGTCTCACATGCTCTGTGGAATACAGCGCTGCGCCAACGTGTGAGATTTTCACCTCTATAACCTGTGGTTGCTGGGGTCGGTGATCATTAATGGCTTCCGCATTTTTGCCTGTGGTGGCTAGGGGAGGTGATGGAGGGAGTGATTTGCTACCTGAACGCCCGGGAACTTTTAAAGTGAATGAGAAAAAAGACCCCAAAGCTAAGATACAAAGCCACAAGAAGCGTGCCTACTCGGTAGGGATAAAGAACAGTTTGTTGAGCTCAATGAAAGTGGTGCACGGAACATTGATATTGTGAGGAAATTGAACTGACCTGAGTCTAGAGTGCGAAGAATTAAGATGAACTTAGAGGAGATCAAGAAGAGTATTGCGCTGGCTCAGAAATATTTCGGTAGTGATGGAAATGCGAGGCGAGCTATGAATGATAAAAGTGTTAGAAACAGATTGTTTGTGATAACAGCATTTTCTTGTGAAATGGTTAGCTTGTAGAATGAAAGACAGTGCAAGTGTTAGCGGCCCTCAGATACGGAACAATCATCACACCAAGCACCTCAAAAACTCCCCCAAGCTAAGTGTTATATTACTCAAACTTTATTTTGATGATTGAATAACAATTCTTTTTATTTCTGCTAACAAAAAGTGTTAGGAGGGCTTCAAGGGGAAAAAATGGGTGAAATTCTTGTGGCGGCAGCACCAATAAACCCTCTTTACATGTATTTTAATGTCACACAAATAACGTTTTCGCTAATAACGGTGTTTTTCAGGCACCTATTAGACGTTATTGGTGAGAGCCTGCTGTAACATGATATGAAGGCAAAATGGTGACAAAATTATTTACCAGGGTAGGTGAAACATGTTACAGGTAGTCCTCCATTATCTCAAATTTGCTTATCACAGGTTTGATTATTTTTATGTAAAAATAATGGATTATAGCAACATGTGTACCTTTGTTAGTGCTGTTGTAAGAAAAAACAAACACCATATGGGATGTCATTATATTCCACATAATAGCTACTGTAGTAACCAATAAACTTGAGGTATAATTTCAACATAAAATTGTGTCAAAGTCTCAAAGAGGGATAGGGGGCACAGGTAGAGCCAGCAAGATCTAGTTCCCTCACAGTGCTGGTTCTTGGAGGTTATGCCGTGTAATCTCGCTCACTCCCACAAATTTGGTTGAAAGTTGGATACAGGTTGTCATTCCATGGCTGAAAAGGTGGTTTCTACTTGAGAATTTTAGTTGAAATTTACCAGTTATTGTAATAACTTCACTGTAATGTATTAGTCTTCAGTTGAGATATGAGTTTTATTATTAAATTTGTTTTGAGTCAGATTTAAAGCCATTGTTTCTGAAAGTTGAGAATGGGATCCCTATAACTCATTCCTTCAGCTACAATGGGACTTAACTTGGTAGTAGGGTTTTATGTACCTTGAGAAGTGTTCCTGTCTGATTTTAGGGATTTAAACTTTGAAAACTAACATTATTTGTACTTAAGAGTTAACCACTAGCTTTATAATGTATGTTTTCAATAAAGGGAATGTTAATTTAGGATATGGCATGATGTTTTGATTTTGTGCATGAGCTGCAGAGGATAGTGTTTCATATAGAGATGTTTGTACACCAGCTGCTTAAAGTATCCTTACAGAAGAGTCTGGTGAATTTCAAGATGAACTTCTCGACTCCTGTTGTCATTACGGTTGTCAAATCCTTCGTCCGTTGTCATATTGTCTCGCACAAAATCGTAAAGATACTTTTTGGAGCGAATTTACGTCTGGATGGTTCCAGTTGTAATGTGGGTATTTGATGAAGTGCTGTATAGCTGTCATTTAATGGTGATTGGTGTTATTGAGTGATGACCAGTCCAGTATCTCTTGAAATTTATCTCTGTAATATCTTAAATGTATGTTATTGCATTTTAGGGGACAGTGCTGCTGAAGAGGAAGACGAAGATGCCTACTCGTCTGAGGTTTCATCAGACTTCTCAGGAATTAGTGACTTCGACGATGAAGGTTAGTGTTATTTCGTCATCATTTTTTGCACAGTTTCTTTTAGTTTTAGGTTTATACTGTGCAGTGACGGATGATAAGGGTAATCCGAGGAAATAATGCTTACGTCATTTGGTTGCATTCTTGGTATTTTGCGATTGTTTTGTGTACAATATTTAATTTTTTTAATCGATCAGCAATTCTTAATCATTCATATCTGTTTCAGTATATAACTCATTGATTTATTACCTAATGATTTAATATAGAGAATTATGGTTAGTTGAAAAGGAAATAATGTTTTTTTTTTTCTATCCCTCGTATAGATAGTTGGGGTCGCCCCAAAAAACGCGGAAAAGCAAAAAAACACAAACAAAAGAATGGAAAAGGCCGAGCTGAAAATGGTGACAGACCTCCCCCACCGCCCAAAGATCACGTGGAAAAGGCGAATAAGTTAAAATCGGAACTCTTGAAAGGAATTGAAAACTTAGGCAGAAAACTTCCCCCCAACACACTGGACCAGCTGATTGACGAATTAGGTGGGCCAGAAAATGTTGCCGAAATGACAGGTCGCAAAGGCCGAGTGGTGCAAAGTGATGACGGTCAAGTAATGTACGAGTCTCGATCAGAAGCCGACGTTCCTCTTGAAATTTTGAATATTAGAGGTGTGTGCAATGTTCTTTTATATATAATACATGGGGGTTGGGCATATAAGGGAATATGTTATACACCCTTATTCTCCCTTTAGTCATCACCTATCAGCATTACTCCCTTGAACAAAAACCTGTGTGCCAGTGTGTGTGTGTGCATGCATGGATGTGTGTGTGTTTTTCTCATCCCTCTGGCATTATAGTGGGGAAGGGCTTGAAAGGATAAGGGAGAAATAGAGCTATATGATTTGTTTGTTTTCATAGCTGTTTTTGTTTTTTTTATGGTGACGTATATTTTACCTTATCCTCTAAGTAGCTAATACACTAACAATATTTGTATTCCAACAGAAAAAGAAAGATTTATGGCATCAGAAAAAGATATTGCTATTATCTCCGAGGCTGCAAGTTCAGGTATCTCGCTACAGAGTGATCGCAGAGTTGTCAACCAGAGAAGAAGAGTACACATAACCCTTGAACTACCTTGGTCTGCTGACAGAGCTATTCAACAATTTGGTTAGTTCTCCTAGTTCTTATGAAAGTACGAGATATAATTGATTTGATAACCTTATTAAACCCTTTATTTTTTATTAATGCAAATTAGGGACATGATCAAGTAACATTAAGTTTAGGTACTTTAATTTGTTATAGTTCATGTCACTTTTTACACTTGATTTATACCTCTGCCTCTTTTTTGGCTCCTGTTTACTTTGAGGTGTTTTTACCCTTATTCTATTTTAATCTGAAGAATAAAGCTAATAATAATAATATTAATAAACGGTTTATTAATAGAGTTGCAGCCGGTGGCTGAAAATATACAGACTTACATTTGATTTAGACATAATGATATAATATGCGGTGAATACATTTACAGGGCTGTACAGTAAATAAATCAAGAGTTGTTTATTATTTTAACAATAGATGGGACGGTGCTGTTCTTATATCTATCGGTGCCGGCTCTTATGGGCTGAATTTTGTTGTAGTGGCGGACTGCGCGAGTTGGGTGGGGGGCTGCAGGAGGTGGCGAGGGTGGTGCAGTAGTCCACTGCCAAACCTTTCCAGTGCTTGGTGGTGGAGGTCACTGAGGGATGGCATTTCCAGGGTGGAGAGAGCGGTGGTGTAGCCGGAGTATTCTGCGCCGGGCATGATTCTGCAGGCCCTTTTCTGTACCTTCTCTAGCTGACGTTGGGTGGAGTTGAGAGAAGACGACCAGGCTGGTGACGCATACGTTAGTTTGGGGAGAATAAAGGCGTTGTAGATGGTCCTCAGCTCTGGCGTGAGTGTCCCAAGTGACCTAAGTCTTCGTAGCATGTAGAGACGGTACGAGGCTGCCTTGACTGTGTTATTTACATGGGCCTAAACTATTTGTGTTAAGAATAACAAGCCAAGAAGGATAACCAAACATTGATCATAGCTGGATGAGGGTTTGTTGGTAAAGAGGATTCGTTAGTGGAGGAATGTTGAGAGGTTAGGCCGAGGTGTGTGAGTGGGGATGTCTTGAATAAATGACCTCTCTGTATAGTAAGAGATGGTTTACACTTACTATCCCATAATTTGTTTAATCTTGACTCTTAGAATATTTTTTGGTATTGTTACTTTCAGGGCGAACACACAGAAGTAATCAAGTGAACGCTCCAGAGTACGTGTTCCTTATATCTGAACTTGCAGGAGAGCGAAGGTTTGCTTCTACTGTGGCCAAGAGATTAGAAAGCTTGGTAAGATGATTTTCTTTGTGTACAGTATACTGTTCATTTGTCACGTCACTTTGGAAATATCCTTCCCCCAGAACATTGAGAGTGTGATTCATTCCAAAACATTAACATTTTGTCCAATACGGATCAGTAAAATGTTGACTCAACATCATCGCACCAGGGTGATTAAGTGGTTAGTGAGGGCAATATCTTATCTGTTTATCAAGTTAAACTATCACTGGGATGAATCACTCGCCATAGAACATATCTTGAACTTGTGGGTGTTAACTGATGTGCCTGAAGTTAAGCCAAGCATGTTTTCCGTCTTGTAATTGTCAACATGTGTCCACTTCTGTGTTTATCAGAGAATTTAGGTGAGGTACTCCCTTTGTACCCCATGTTTATCATTTAGTTTTAATGCGGTTATGTTGGTTTTAATAAATATTAAGTGTTTTTAGCCTTCTATAGAACTTTTTAGTATGTTATTAATCATAAACATTGCATTCAGGATGATTTAGAAATCATTTATACTCTTTTTCCATCTAAAAAAAATAATCATTGTGTAAAGGCCAAATTTTAAAACCAACTTTGTTCAGTCACCCAGACTCACCCTACTTGGTTAAAGGCAAAACTAAGTTTAAGTTCATCTAAGTTCATCTTAATGTATGGGGAAGAAAATTACTTTTACAGTTGAAAGTTTTAAAGAATTCTTTAAATTACAATTGGAGAGAGATATAGGAAGTGGCAACTTGGCTCCCTTATAATCAGTCCTGTAAGAAAGCTTATTATCACCACTTTCTGCAATATATAATACTGCAATTCACATCCGTCTAACACCAACATATATTTAAAATGTTTCACTTTCATTGCCATTTGCTCTTACTGTTGCCCTACTGTTTGCAAAGTTTAGGTCCTCCCGATCATGCTGAATCCGAATCTATGGTCCACGGTTCTACAACGCAATAGTTGCGTCCTTGTAAAGCTCTTTTATGTTCACCACCGGCAATTCAATCTCCAGAACGCTTCTTAGAAACATACTTCTTACATTGTCTTTCCATATTCATCGCTAACACAAAAAAATTGGAGAAAACAGTGAAAATCACGGAGCAATCGACAAAATCCGTGCGATTCTACTGATAACATGATGTAAACAGAGTGTGCTGGTGTAAACCGTTATTAGTCCTAGCTGTGAAACATTCTTTTTACTTATTTTTTTCACATTATTCATGGGTAACAGCTAAATTTGCATAAACCCCCCCCAAAATTTACAGAGTACCTCTCAAAACACACTTCACAAACAAATGACCCGAATCAATTGAACATATGAAGTTGAACGTGAACTATATGCATTGCATAACCCTGCGCTACGGTTAAATTGTTGAGGATGGAATCATGTTATAACCAACATTAGTATGCAATACTTTGTGTTTTACAAACAGCGTTCCCCTATTCATCAATCGCGTTACAACGAATTCGCATTAACAGACAACGTGTTGTAGCAGAAAAGACTGTAACTGGTATGAGAGCTGTGACATCATTCAAGACGGTGCCCAGCATTCAGCTGGCTGGATCACGCGTTCAGGTAGTGCTCGCTAAATGAAATCGCGCGAAATATGAGATCTTACAGTACATCATGTTGCTAATTGCTCACCAACAATGGGTTTCCAAGGTGTGATTTTGTCATTGTTGTGTTATTCAGGAAGTAGTTAATTATTTAAGCCCTTTAAATTCCAATTCTGAGAGAAAAGTATATTTCGGTCAAAAAATTACTAAGATATAGGGCTTAATATTTTAGCAGTTTTGGCCAAAAAATAGATTTCGCTGAAAATCTCAGTTTAGGTACTCCCGAGCATGCTGAATCAGAATCTATGGTCCACGGTTCGATTGTGGAGTAATTAGTGGTCGTAACGATGCTTGGAATATTTTAATTACAGTAAGATCTTGTGTTTCGCGAGTAATATCGACTGGAAAATTGCGCCAAACTCAAATACATAACTACAGTCATCCCTTGGTTATCACACCTAATTGGGACCGTGCCGAGTGCGTCATAACGAAAAACAGGATAACGGAAGTACAGAACCTATGGGATTTATTCTAATTTTTTTTTTTTATGGGAATTAATCCACCCAGGCACAGGTCACTGACCCACATCGGGGCCTGGGGGGGGCAAAAATGTAATAATAATAATAATAATAATAATAATAATAATAACTAACAATAATAATAAAGAACCACAAAGAAATACAAAATGAAAAAAATAAATCAAAAGTGAGGAACAATATATGTATGTTGTCTTGTCAATAGTAAGAGAAACAATTGAGACCCTGCAATATTGGTTCCCATTTTATTACCATTTAGACCAGGGGTGTCAAACTCATGGCCCGAAAGCCAAATGTGGCCCTTGGGATGGTCAGGTGTTGCCCACGGGATGACGGTAAAATTTATCATCCCGGGAAATTTTTTAAGAAATTGGTATAATCGTGTTTAATTAGTTAAATGAATTTTACATACTTAAGATCAGACAAACCCAGGTAAGGCAATGTGTGAAGCTGTAAACTTCAATCCTGCAAATATGTGTTATAGCACTTGTGTTGGCCCTGAAGAGGGTAATTAAATAAGAATTGGCCCTCGAAAGGTATCGAGTTTGACACCACTGGTGTAAGACTTACATTTTTGGTGCTTTTGGGCCAAAAATTCGATTTTGCTGAAAATCACAGTATGGATACTCTTGAGCTTGCTGCTTATCAATATGTGGTCCACGATTCGATTGCAGAGAAATTAGTGGCCAAAATGACCCTTGAAAGATTTTACTGACATGGTTTGTGTGTTATTCTGAAGGTACTTAATTAGTTAAACCCCTCAAATTTCAATTCTGAGAAAAAAGTATATTTTGGTCAAAAATTTTGTAAGGTATAAGACTTACATTTTTGGCCAAAAATTAGATTTTGCTGAAAATCACAGTATGGTACTCTTGAGCTTGCTGCTTATGAATATGTGGTCCACGATTCGATTGCAGAGTAATTAGTGGCCAAAATGACCCTTGAAAAATTTTACTGACATTTTTCAATGCTAATTACAGTAGGCTCTCACCAATAACGTTTAGTAGGCGCCTGAAAAACACCGTTATTAGCGAAAACGTTATTTGTGTGACATTAAAATACATGTAAAGAGGGTTTATTGGTGCCGCCGCCACAAGAATTTCACCCATTTTTTTCCCCTTGAAGCCCTCCTAACACTTTTTGTTAGCAGAAATAAAAAGAATTGCTATTCAATCATCAAAATAAAGAGTTTGTGTAATATAACACTTAGCTTGGGGGAGTTTTTGAGGTGCTTAGTGTGATGATTGTTCCGTATCTGAGGGCCGCTAACACTTGAACTTTCTTTCATTCTACAAGCTTACCATTTCACAAGAAAATGCTCTGTTATCACTAACAACCTCTTTCTATTGCCTTTATCATTCATAGCTCGCCTCGCATTTCCATCTACCGAAATGTTTTTAGCCAGCGCAATACTCTTCTTGGTCTCCTCTAAGTTCCTCTTAATATTTCGCACTGTAGACTCAGGACAGTTCAATTTCCTCAGTTTAAAAGTTCCCAGTCATTCAGGTGGCAAATCACTCCCTCCACCACCTCCCCTAGCCCCCACAGGCAAAAATGCGGAAGCCATTATTGATCACCGACCCTAACAACCACTGGTTATAGTGGCGGAAATCTCACACGTGGGCGCAGCGCTGTATTCCACGGAGCGTGTGTGAGAGTGAGGCGGAGTGGACAACTACGTCATCAACATGGCGCAAACAAATGTATCATTGATGCCCTCGGACGCTTCCCGCGAAATTTCCGTTATTCAAGAGAATCCAGACGTTATTATCGAAAATGGGTATCTATTGTAACTTACCCTTATTGTCGAAAACGTTATTGTGGAAGTTGTTATTGGCGAGAGCCTACTGTACTCATCAACTATGGGTTTCCAAGGTGTGATTTATGGCTTGTGTGTTATTCTGAAATTACTTAATTAGTTAAATCCCTCAAATTTCAATTCTGAGAAAAAAGTATATTTTGGTCAAAAATTTTGTAAGGTATTAGACTTACATTTTTGGTCAAAAATTAGATTTTGCTGAAAATCACAGTATGGGTACTCTTGAGCTTGCTGCTTATGAATATGTGGTCTACAATTCGATTTCAAAGTAATTAGTGGCCAAAGTGACCCTTGAAAGATTTTACGGACATTTTTCAATGCTAATTTCTCATCAACTATGGGTTTCCAAGGTGTGATTTATGGTTTGTGTGTTATTCTGAAAGTACTTAATTAGTTAAACCCCTCAAATTTCAATTCTGAAAAAAAAGTATATTTTGGTCAAAAATTTTGTAAGGTATTAGACTTACATTTTTGCCAAAAATTAGATTTTGCTGAAAATCACAGTATGGGTACTCTTGAGCTTGCTGCTTATGAATATGTGGTTTACAATTCGATTGCAGAGTAATTAGTGGCCAAAATGACCCTTGAAAGATTTTACTGACATTTTTCCATGCTAATTACTCATCAACTATGGGTTTCCAAGGTGTGATTTATGGTTTGTGTGTTATTCTGAAAGTACTTAATTAGTTAAACCCCTCAAATTTCAATTCTGAGAAAAAAGTATATTTTGGTCAAAAATTTTGTAAGGTATTAGACTTACATTTTTGGCCAAAAATTAGATTTTGCTGAAAATCACAGTATGGGTACTCTTGAGCTTGCTGCTTATAAATATGTGGTCTACAATTCGATTGCAGAGTAATTAGTGGCCAAAATGACCCTTGAAAGATTTTACTGACATTTTTCAATGCTAATTACTCATCAACTATGGGTTTCCAAGGTGTGATTTATGGTTTGTGTGTTATTCTGAAAGTACTTAATTAGTTAAACCCCTCAAATTTCAATTCTGAGAAAAAAGTATATTTTGGTCAAAAATTTTGTAAGGTATTAGACTTACATTTTTGCCAAAAATTAGATTTTGCTGAAAATCACAGTATGGGTACTCTTGAGCTTGCTGCTTATGAATATGTGGTTTACAATTCGATTGCAGAGTAATTAGTGGCTAAAATAACCTTTGCTGGATGTCGTCACTGTTGTTGTACAGAATACTTCATTTTCCTCATTATCTTCATCATTAGTAGTAATACAGTAATCTTTATTATTTTAATTATTATTATTAATAATATTAAAATCGTTGATGTTTCTATGATTGCGACTTTTTAGTAATAACTTACAAGCACCTCACCAGGCATCACACGCGACTCCACTGCCAGGCGAATACGCGCAGCAACTTTAAACTGTTTTGAGCGCGTTATTTAAGAAATAGGTGAGCTAAATTAGCTTTGGTATTAATTGAACAATCGCGTTATTCCAAAAACACTTAAATCAAACGCGGATAAAACGCGAGTCGCCTGTACTTAATTAGTTAAACCCTGTGTGACCGCCGCCTGTGACCTCACTTGAATTACCCAACCTTAGTTAATTCCCAAGTGATCCACTGCCATATAGCAGCTAAAATATCAAACAGACCGCACCAAACTTGGCTCGTAAAGTCTCACAAGTTAAAATGTTTATATTGTTGTTTATATATACTATACCTGCTTATTTCACTGTTACATATCCATAGTTGCTTACTCTTAGGTGATGAAACAGTAACGAATTGCATGTAATGATTATTCCTTTACTTGCCATAAGCTGGCTGCATCTACCTGAACTGAGGGCCACATTAAATAGAATTTCTCAATCACTCCATGGGCCACACAAACACATGGTCCGGCCCAAGGGTTGCTCGTGCCTGCTGTACAGTATCTTTCTTTATTCCAAAGGTCATTAGTTAACACTAATTACTCAAATTTTATGTTGTGTACCCAGATCCTTAATCAGCTTGTAAAGAAGTACTATACCTCTATGAAATTTGAAAAAATCCATGGTAGGACCCGAAATGCAAGGTATTAGGTCAGTTGTTTATATAGTAAAGAGAGTCTTATGTTTTTAAGTGAATGTATATAATAGCGATTTAAAACTTCGGGCACAGCGAAATTGACGTTTTAAATATTATAAATAAAGTAGTACAATATCTTTAATGTTTTCAAGGGTTATTAATTAACTCTAATTACTAAAAAAAATTTAAGTTGGCTAATATTTAATTTTTTCTTCCCAATTTCTTTAAACAGGGAGCTCTAACTCACGGTGACAGGAGAGCAACAGAATCCCGCGATCTCTCGTCCTTCAACATTGATAACAAATATGGTCGCATGGCCCTGGAGTCGACTATGAAGACGATGATGGGTTATGAACACCCCATAGTTCCTCCCCCAGAAGATTATAAAGGCGATTTCTTCTCTGACATTCAGAATGCCTTGGTTGGGGTAGGGCTAATCCTTAAAGAAGATAGCATACATCAACTGGATAAAGACTACAACAACATGAGCAAATTCTTAAATAGGTAAGGAAAATTCTCGTGGGTTAACATAACATTATATAGGTGGTTAGAGTGGGACAGTGGAGGCAGCCTTTACGTACAAGCATCTGGGGGATGTATTTCAGTACTTTTGGGGGGGGGGGGCTTTAGACCTTTCAGTTGGGGAATTTTTTCCCTTGGTTTTTATGTTTGTATTGTTGATTTTAGTGTTTTATTGTGTTGTTATTAAAAATTTATTCATTTCCGTTGAACTAGACCCATATCCAAAGCAGTAAGACTTCATTCCTGGCAGAAGTATACTGTACTATATGTTACAATTATTATAATGTAAGAAAGATTGATCTAATATATGCTTAAACACAGTACAGGTAGACCACCTCATGTCCGGCAATCAGTAATCCGGTTCCACCGTTGGTTCGGACATAATTTGGCCACCGTAATTTCAAATTTTGTGCCGGTCTCTTCGCCAACCCGCCGCTACTGTTCTGGTGGTGCCACTAGCAGACTCAGCTGTTGGCACGGTGTTTGAGGAGCGGCAAGTTATTCCTCTGTGTTTTTCTTCATTATAAACTGCTCTTATTTAGCCCCAGTCATGTCTTCATTGAATAAAGGAAGTGCTTCTCGTGGCGTAAAGCACAAACACCGTATGTTGTCTGTACAAGATGAGGCCAAACTTCTTAAAAAACTCGATGGTGGCGTGTCCGTTCGCAGCATATGCGACTTGTATAACATTGGCCTTCCACTGTGTATGACAAAAAAACAGAAAGGAAATCTGCTCCAGTTCTTTGCTGATAGTGAATCAAAGAAACAGATGTCCATAAGGAAAGCATTGAAAGATGGAAGATGTTCACAGCTAGATAAAGTGGTTTAAACGCTGCATCAGTGAAGGTGTGGAACTGTCTGGGGAGATGGTAAGAGAGCAAGCAAAATTATTTCATGCAGAATTAGGAATAGATTATGCGTGTGATTATACTGAAGGGTGGCTTCAGCGGTTCAAGCAGCGACATGGGATAAAGTTTTGTGCAGTGTGTGGTGAAAAAAGGTCGGCAGACAAGGAAGCAGCTGCTGCATTTGTGGATGAGTTCGCCAAGTTAGTTTCAGATGAAAATTTAATTCCCGAACAGGTCTACAATGCAGACGAAACCGCCTTATATTGGCGTTGTACTCCCAGGCGAACACTGACTACTGAGGATGCAGAATCACCAACAGGTTATAAAGCATCGAAAGATCGTGTCACTGTGTTGGGCTGCTCTGACGCTGCAGGAACCCACAGGTGTATGCTGTTAGTCATTGGCAAAAGTTTACGCCCCAGAGCTTTCAAATGTATGAAACAGTTTCCAGTTATTTACCGTGCTAACAAAAAGGGATGGATAACAACTGACTTTACATTGGATTGGTTCGAACATTACTTTGTTCCAGCAGTGAGAGCTCATTGTGACTGTTGGTTTGAACGAAAACTAAGATATTGTTGATTTTAGATAACTGTTCTGCACATCCAAAGGCAGAACTCTTGGTGAAGAATAATGTTTACGGTATCTACCTGCCATCTAACTGTACGTCATTAATTCAACCCCTGGACAATGGCATATTACGGTCTTTGAAGTCTAAATATCGCTCCAAGTTTATGAAGTGGCTACTGAGTGCATTTAACTCTGGCAAACCAGTAAAGGAATTTTTGAAAGAATTTAATATGAGAGATGTGATTTATGGAGTTGCTAATGCTTGGCAGTCCGTAGAATCATCAACATTGAAAAACGGATGGCATAATTTGTGGCCAGCTTTAATGTTAAGTTTTGCACCTGGTGAGGAAATTGGAAATGAATTTACAGGATTTAGGGTTTCAAATCAAAATCAGATTGTACGTGAACTGCTTTCTTATGCTTAAGATCTCTGTAATCCTACTGCGGAGGAAGTTGCATCGAGGCTGGATGCAGATAACATTAATGAGTGGATGGGTGTTGATGACAATGAATTAACTGTTCATCATTATACTGACGTTGAAATTGTTCAGATGGTTGTAAATCCAAAGACAAACAACAGTGGGGGAGAAAGTAATGAGGAAGAGGTAGCTGAAAGAATGTCCATTGATAAGTCAGTTGAGCTGACAGGTGAATTGATAAAAGGTCTCGAACAACGCAGTTTTATTGCTGAACATGAAATAATGAATGTTTACATGTTGCAAGAAAAACTAATCAAAGAAAGACCAAAATACATGAGACAGGTTAGCTTGCAGGATATGTTCAGAGAAATCTGCAAGACAGGAGTCAACACTTTTTAGATGAAACACAAGACAGTCTTGATGACCCCCCACTTTCAGACATGTAACTCTGCTTAGTTGTACAATCCAACTCTTTACTTTGGAAGTGGCAATAACCAACCTTCTGATGTAAGTAAATACAGATACATTGTAAGGTATTTTGCCTTACGACGACGGGGTTAGGGACCCAAATCCAGGTTGTGAGTCGAAAATGCTTAAATAATACAGAAAATCTAAAATGGGTGTCTCTTTTTCTTCTCGGCACCACAAAACTTTCACTTTTAAACTTGACAAAATTTTGGTACGGCTGAGGCGGTCGTAAGTCAAGGAGTAGCTGTACTTCAATAAATTTCACTTGCTTTTCATTTGTTCTCTTTTCTTTTTATTATCCAACTTGTACTATTTACAGAGTATTTTAAAGGTAGGGTGAGGTGGTTATGAAGTGGGTTAGAGGTGTTTATTTATTTAATCCTAACCTAACCACCTGTGGTTTGGCAAAATCACTAATCCGGCACTGCTCGGGTCCCAATCAGTCCGGATTTGAGATGGTCAACCTGTATACAGTACAGAAAATTCAAGTTTGATAACCATATATTCAATAAAATTAAGTCTTGCTCTATTATATTTCAAATTATTACAGTAGAGATACATTAGAGGAAAAGTATATGTAGGAGAGAGAGAGAGGTATGGTATATAGCACAATATTTTGACCCTAATTATTCTCCATTCCAGGATATTAGGCATGCCGGTAGAACTACAAAATAGATTATTCAAGTACTTCACAGACACATTAGCTGCTATTATTACTCAGGCGAAACGAACCGGAAAGTTTGATATGGGTATTTTAGGTGAGTTGTATGGCACTTGTTGGTGTAAGTTGTGTTCCATGTACAAAGGCAATTAAGACAGAAATTAACTTCATTCCTATATAACTGATGTCCCCAAGTTCTAAAATAGTGTGGATATTATTTAATAGTGTTCTTGATTAATCTGTATATTGTCTTGTATATGTACATTCCTGTCTAGTAATTTCCTTGCTTGTTAATTCGTCTAGTTTTAGTAATTAACTTTTCTGTATTATAAAATCTGGGTATCAGTCATTTCTATCAGGTTTAACATTGAGAATATGAAAACGGTTTTCTCTTGGCTTTACTTTTCCAGTGAAGCTTTGAATTTAGTGATGATTTACCTGTCATTAATTAAGTTCATCTAAGGATATTAAGAGTTATCTAGTTTTCAGTATAATTTATATGTTTTCAAAGAGTTTAAAGTAACAGTTTGCTTACCCTGAATTGGGACCAAAAAGTTGTTTGTTGTTGTATTAATGGATTTCTTTGTTGTTGTTGCTAGATTTGGGGATAGGTGGTGAAGGCTGTAAAAAGACAAAAACAAAGACCTGGGTTGGTAAACACGTCACAGGAACAGCTAAGACTGAACTCCATAATGTCCTAGTTGAGCGAGGTCTTTCCTGGTCAGAAGTGCAAGAAAAGTGGGCCGAACTCACTGGAGATCTTGAAGGCTTCTACCTCTCTCACCAAGTATGCATCCCATTTTTTCCTAAGTGTGTTCTTAAAAGCCACGAAAGTGTGTATTCAGTATTGTAATGGTGACATCAATAATGCTCTTAAACAGAACAATCTATAACAGTGGCCTCCGAACATGTTGTTTTTGGTATGCAGTATAAGTGTTTAGTCGTTGTGATCCTTTTCCTATTGATTATTAATAGTGTTAGTCTCTTTGTACACTCTGTGTGAATGAGGGAGAGGGGGGAGTATGTACAGTAGTGAATGGCTGTGGAAAACTTATCGGTCATGCCTTTCATTTGGGTGTCTGGAAGTTGATACAGTGAGTTCTGCTATAACGCGTGTTTTGACAACGCGAATTGGCTCTAACGCGATTTATGAATAGAGGAACGATATTTGTATAACGCGAACGCTTGTATGCTGTAACGCGATTTTTGCTTAATATTTCTCCAATTTTGTGGTATTAACTGTGAATATGGTAAAGAAGAATATCTCCAAGAAGCGTTCTGGTGATCGTAAAAGAAAGGCTATAACCCTTGAAGAGAAGCGCGATGTTACCTATCTCAAAATCACCCTTCTCCCCCATCAAGTTATATTCATATTTTTTCAAGGTAAAGTGTTACATTTACTGTATGATTTCATTATTAGATATGAATGTAAAATTTATTTAGACTGTGCTATCCTTTGTGTTAGGCTAAATACTAAATTTTTTTCGATATCAAGTAGTAATCTGCACCTAACCCTATTTTCTCCATAAGCCGTTATTTCTATTATGCGAATTTCTATAACACGATGTTTTACAAGAACACAACTATCGCGTTATAGCAGAACTGACTGTATAGAGAAAGATCATATGTAAGATGGAAGGACAGGAGGAGTGTAAGAATTGTCCCATTGGTGAAGCAGTGGAAGTGAGCCAATTTTTTTATACTTAAGGATTTTTGTCTACTACCTACCCATTTGAGTAGTTACATCTTACCAGGTGACAAAGTTGATGTTTTTGGGGTTTTTTCAACATCATGCCATTAAATAAGGTCTTCTCTTAATTCCAAGTTTTTCACAGGTTCGGAATAACAAGAAAACTGCCGTACTTGCGGTCTTGGAACCATCTCCTGTAAATAAAAAGCGCGACAAGAATTCTCGAATGTTTATTTTATATCGGCCAAACACAGGGATGCAGATGAAGCAAGAGCCTTACTCAGACCTGAAGAAGAAGTACAAGAAAGTAACCCCAGATGAAGCTCAGGAACACTGGGAGGAACAATTCAATTCATCTAGTCACATATGTTCACACGCTTATTGGTGAGTTGGCGGCCTTCCCTGACTGGTAGTGCAATATGTTACTGATACTTAAACACTTGGATTATATACCTCAGGTCATTTCCCATGTAGTGTACGAGTAAATAAGCAACATATTTTAGAATTGATAATCTTGAGGTGAAAGACTTGCCAGTTATGTTGTCTCTTCTTATTGTCATACACAAAACCTCATTGCCATTTTCTGAGAATGAGCGTTGCCTGCATTCTATTATCTCAGAATTTTTTTTTAATCTTGGAGATGCCAAGCATATGTATTGTTTAGAAATACATTTTCACCATTGTATTCTTGAGGATTTAACTTGTACTATGAATGAATTTAATTTTTAGAATGGGTCAATTTGGTGTGTTATGAAGGCTGTATCTCTCAAAACTAATCCTCAATTTAATAGAAGCTGATCCTTTCCCCTAGAATATACAGTAAATCTGTTATTGGGTTGATATATTATTTGGCAGTCATTCCGTTACTAAATGTAGACCTTAATTTCTATTTTATCCATTAATGAAAGTAAATTTAGAGATTCCTTCTTTGGATTTATGATAATGGAGTGTACTTATATATCCTTAATTCTTTAGGCAAGGCAACTGTCGCCGTGTGAACAGTGGGCTGGAGTGTGAGATAGGTTTGAGGCGACGCACATACCATGTTTTATGTGGCTTGGTGTTGAATGTATGGGCACGAGTTGAAGATGTTCTGTCGTGTGCACCACAATCACATTCTTCCAAGATGCAGGTTGTACGACTCAAGACCAGTGACGGCATTAAGCTGGTTGGTAAGTATATACTGTACTTTGTCTAGTATGTGATTTGACTGGGTTGGTGCAAAATCTAATTCAATGTGTTGGAATACTTTGGTGTTTTTGTGTTATTCTGGTTGTACTAAAGTATTTAACACATTTTTTAATAATTCCTAGAGCAGTGGTTCTCAACCTTGTTTGCCCCATGCACCCCTTTCACCATATGTCAGAATGTCATTCCCCCCTCCTTTCCAAGATTGTCTGCCTCAAAAAGTGCATTCCAAATAATATGCATATAATACTGAAAATCCTTTATTTTTTCCATATTAGTATCAGTTTCCCCCCCCCCCTGAAAACCTGAGAGGGGAAATTCCCCCTTGGTTGAGAACCCCTATCCTAGAGAATGGGGTTTTCAAAATATCAATACTGTATAGGTCCTCCTTAACTTATTGTACTGATAAAGGACCTGTGGTTAAAAGCTTAATATTTGGGTAATTACTCATTCTAATGACTTGGGAAATTTTAATTGCTAGTAGTTTTGCAATGCTAATTACATGCCTCCCATGGTTTTTCAATGGCACTCTTTGGTGTTTTGGGTTATTTTTTATGTACTAATGGAGTTAAACATGGGGACTTTTGCGAGTATTAGTCTAGTATGATAAAAGTATGGTAGCATCATAAAAGAAAATGAGCGTGTCTTGATAAGGAATGGTGAAAATCGCTCAAATTACCTTGATTTGAGTAATTCATTGTGAACTCATTTACCCAGCCTGTCACTTAGGCTTAAATTCTCTTACAGTAATAACCAGTTCATGTTTCTCTGATTCATCTTTTTTTTTTTTTTTTATAGCCAGTCAGACCATTCAAGTTGCAGCATATACATTTGATTTAGGTGTAAACTGTCCATGGGGAGTCTGTAACATTCTCATTCATACCTAAATACAGTACCCTGTATGTCCTATAAATTATTGCAGGGGTTTTATTCTTCGGGTGTTGGTTTGTTTTCATCCTGCTGTGGAAGCTGACCAGTGAAACGGAGAAGTTTGCAATAAATGGACATAAGCACTGTATGATGAGATATATTTCCCATCTTAGTACTGTATGACGAGATATATTTCCCATCTTAGTACTGTATGACGAGATATATTTCCCTTCTTAGTACTGTATGATGGGATATATTTTCCCATCGTAGTACTGTATGACGAGATATATTTCCCATCTTAGTACTGTATGATGGGATATATTTTCCCATCTTAGTACTGTATGATGGGATATATTTTCCCATCTTAGTACTGTATGACGAGATATATTTCCCATCTTAGTACTGTATGACGAGATATATTTCCCTTCTTAGTACTGTATGATGGGATATATTTTCCCATCGTAGTACTGTATGACGAGATATATTTCCCATCTTAGTACTGTATGATGGGATATATTTTCCCATCTTAGTACTGTATGATGGGATATATTTTCCCATCTTAGTACTGTATGACGAGATATATTTCCCATCTTAGTACTGTATGACGAGATATATTTCCCATCTTAGTACTGGATGACGAGATATATTTTCCCATCTTGACCTTTGTATACCTTATCACCATAAGACATGTGTTTTGTGGTGCTTCTGAACTTTACATTTTTTTTTCTTTACAGGTACCCTCATTCCAAACAATCTGGTATCACGGCTTTGTGAAGTTATGGAACAAGAAAGTACAGAATCGTTTGAGGAGACCTTTACAGATGAAGACAGCAATGATAGCAAAGACAGCAAGGAGTAGTGACTAATATTCTGAACAGAATTATTTGTGGAATTGGAGGAGAAAGGAATGACTACTTCAGGAGCAGAAAAATAAAAGGAGCAAAAGTAGCATATACAGTATTTGGTTAATGCTTTATGATAGGTGTTATTGAGACTGCAGATTTAGTGCAAAATTATAACAGTGGTGTAAAAATAATATAATTAGATGGATAATTGTAGATACTACTGCAAAGCTGCTACAGACTGACTAGTTCCTTGTCCTGAATTATACAGTACGTTATAGTGTTATCACTATACAATTGAAGTGGTCATATCAGTGCTGTGTTTCTGCTACGTAAGGTCAACCAAATTTTTTTTTTAATCTGAGAAGCTACCATTAACAGGAGCAGTACAGAAAAGTTTCTTTTGCATCTGCAATTTGATTTTATTGCCGAGTATAATTTGATCGTGAAATCATCAGTTATTAGAAAATAGTCAAGTACGTAACTCGGTTTAATTTGGTAAGCAATATTGTTGCAATTATGTGGATGCATAAGGAAGGGATCTTCTGAACTCCTGTATTGCAGTCATTGTGGTAATTTTTTTAGATAATTTGCAGTTAGCCCGGGGCTTCTTGTCCATGGTTTCAGGTTGACTAAATGGCAAAGCTTGAAGAAGATAGCCATTACCCGTAGTATGGGCAAGTGATATTTTCAGGTGAATACCTCTCCGTCGAGAGGATCCGATGGCAATTAATATGGACGTGTAGTGTACCTGCTGTGAAGCCAAGAACCATAATATTAAAGGATTGTGAGCAGATAATGTAGTTATAAATATAGTGGAAAAACTAGTTTTTCATAGATTTTGGCACCCAATAATTTGCAATTGTGTATTAAGTGTGCACAAATTAATGTATGTTACATTTCAAGGTTAGTCTTGAATTATTGAACTATATTTTACCCTTTAGATTTATTTAGCCCTTTGGTCCAATGTTGCACCATGGTAGTCCTGAACTAATTAAAAGGATAGCAACTGAGGAAGGCCTCCTTTTCCCAAAAAATCTAATTTATTTTAAATTATTCTGCACGTGATGTCCTCACATCAGTTACTATTTCAAGGTGACTCGTTTCTAAAAAGTACTTGATGTATATATAATTTGCTTTTTTCTTACCATGTATACTGTATGAACTTGAAGGTATTAATTTACGCAAGTTTTACTGAATGTGCTGTGGAAGAATGATGTTGTAAATTTTATGTCCACAAGATTACCTTCATGATTTAGAATTCACATAGACAAATTATAAAAAAAATATAGCTTTTCAGTCAGTTTCTTCAGTAATTAAATGTAGGCCATGCAGTTATGATCATTTATCGGGTGGGCATTAGCAGTTCGCCCAGATGAGGATGTTGCAGGACATGGTCAGCAGGTACTCGTAATCAGTTTACAGGGCATTTTCCAAAGTATTGTACAACGCGATCTCGTATGACCTGAATGTTCTTTTATGGCCACAATTCTGTAGCTTTGTGTGTGGCTAATATTATATTTGGTTAGTGTCGATACTCCAGTGATTGGCTACAGTGGTTTCCTCTCTGAACACGGGTCTTTTTTTAATCCTATCAGAAACTAAATGGCAGTCAATCTTTTTTAAACTATAAAGTTTTCTCTGCTGCATGTAAGGCTTCAGAGTTTGGGACGTAATATTTCTGGTTGCCAATTTGGCAACAGTGTAGATAGTACAAGTGGTTTCACAAAAGCAGATGCCAGCAGGAGGGTCACCAAATTAAGTGTTATGTAAGTTTTATATGAGGTTATTTATGTGACTGGTAACACCATACATAGATGATAAACCATGGTTTTGTATGTTTGTATAACGGTTCTAGAAAAAATAGAAGTGTTGACAAAGTTAAGTGTCATGTAGCCATCTTTTTGTTTCAATTTTAGTATTATAAAATAGTTGCATTTACAGACATGAGACATATGTTTACCTCTTTCCCCAAAACTAAGGAGCAGCATGTGATGTTGTGTCCTTGAACCCTCCTGTTGACAAAGGCAGTATTTGGTGTTCTTCCATGTGAGTCATTGTGATTAGGTCAGTCATATGCCACTCATACCATACAGTAGTCACATTTCCTTCACCAGTGGGTAATCTAAACATTTATTTTGTAGGTCTAAGCCACATGTAACCCATTATTTCCAGTGAGAAAAGGACTTACTTTCTGAGCAGAAGTATTTCATCAATCACAGTTGGCTTTTTAAGGATGAACAGTCAGGAATAGCCAAATTGCTGTCAGGAACAAATTGGCAAGTATCAGGATTTAGGGTTTTCTTCAGATCTCATTGCTAGACATAATTTATATACACCCGCTCCCCCATTTTGCAATTCATCATGCTGTACATTGTATACGAAATGCCCTCATCAGAAGTGACATCAGCAATGTTTGGCTGATGGAGAAAGAGAAAGTTCTTAGGTTTTTATATAATCGTTATCATTATTCATTTGACTTCCTGAGTTTTAGTGAACATTATTCTCCACCAGCCAATAACAACAAGACATAGTACCAATCTTAGTACTGTACTTACATTGTACTGTACCAAACTGTTAAGTGAATATGTAGCAGTCAATTATACTTGGATATTTGTTTACCTAATTGTATGTTTGCACCTTGAAAACAACTTGCCAAGGTAAGTAATATTATCATTGTTTTATTATTTTTTTAATATCTTCATATTTTAACTGAAATTACACTTTGAGATGCCATTGCATTAAAATACAACAAAAGTATCTTCACAACCAGTTGAACAATACAAATTAATGCAAATTGAGGTTTTGTAGACCTTTTGATAATTTGGAAATACAAACTTTGCTGTTGAAGGCTTGGGCACAAAATGAAAGTGTACATAAATGTCAAATAATATGTCAGTCTTCTTCCTCTGCAAATCAATATAAAAGTCTACCAAGAAATGTATTTGACCCTTGCAGATGGGAATCACATCTGTTGCAGGATGTGTCCATTAAGGGTCAACATTATATTTTACATTAATCATTAAATCTGTCGTGTATAAGATTTCCCACACTAAAAGCAAGATACTGTTTGCAGACGTAACATTTTGATTACCAATAATTTCCACACCTCGGTAGCAACTAGCAAAAAACACTTGTTGAATACTACATATTTTTGTCTTGCCATCACATGATTGAGGTTGAGGCAGTAACCATTTTCTTTTGTAATGAAACTACATGTATTACTGTACTGTATATGTATAAAGAGTGAAGGATTTCCAAGAGGGAGAAATTGTAAAACAATATTAAGGGAAGAAAAGTGTGGAGTCTGAGAAATTGTACATAGTGAGCATGTGTGACCAGACTAAAGTTTTGATAGATGTGTGATAAGTGGTTTTGCAGTATGTAGCCAAAGAAAATAGAGGAATAAGCAACAATCTTTCATAGTAGTAAAGTTCTTTTCCCTGTTAACATTAATGGTCTGCCAAACTCCATGCAATTAGCACTTGCTAAATGTTCACAAAATATTTAATTACTACAAGTCAAACAGTTACTGCACATTATACTAAAATATGAATTATCTTGTAATTTATATTTTTTAATCTTGTGTCCATATTCTTATTGGCATATCCTTTGTGTGTAAAACAAAGAAGCCAATGCCTTCTCAGTGTTCATCCAGTCAACATTAAATACAGTACATGGTATATACAAATGTTAATATATTTTTGTGGACTACGAACATCCTACCTTACACAGTTATGGACAAGCTAACAGCTGAACTTCAAACATTACACTAAAGCCACTTGAAAGCTCCCCTTCATTCACTATGGCATAAAATACTGCACAGAAGCTCCATATACCGTAAGTTGTTTAGGGTACACAATTGTATACCAACTACTGTACAGAGTTGTTCTTGTATTTACAATAGCTGCAACTTAGAAGACTAGGTAGTTCTGAGGAAATGTCTTTTGTTGGGGGCTGTGATAATACATGCAAGTGGAAATGATTAAGGTCAGACAAAATTAGATCAATATTTTTTTTTGTTATTGACAATGAATCGTTTACTTCCCGAGATAGTCAATATTGGTTGTTTGTCTTTGGTTTGGAATAATGATTAACAGTTTGTTAAACCATAGATTATGTTGTTACTGATAATAGAAACTGCAATTTGGATATAATCGGTCACTGAAGATTTGTGTTCATTATAGTACACTAAACCAGAAAATAAGAATTCAAGGTACTCATTTAATCTGTTTGCATTAATATCAAACAGGTGGTAACCAAATATTAAATGAATACCTAAACCATTTGGTTTTCTTTCAAAATTTATATATTTCATTATAATTTGGGAGTTTTCTTGAATCCCCTAATTGATTAGCAAGTTAGGATACAGTAATTTATGAATACCTACCTATATGCATCAATCAGCTTGATTCAAAATACTGTACAGGACAGGGATGTGATTTTTTCTGCATATTTTCAAGTATTGATTTTTGATAGTGAATGGGCATCTATATACTTCATACAAATCTGAGGACAAAAACAAAAGGAGGGGGAGGTTCGTCAATAACCCCCCCCCTCACTTAGCATGGATTTGAACCTGCGGCTCCCGACGAGAATTCCAAGATAGTGTTTATGCTGGAATCTAAGTTCTCTTAGCATTTAACAAAGGTGAGTACTACCAATTAAATTTCTATGCCGAGTTGTACACCGCTTTAGTTTGTATTAAATGCAAGCCTTTTGTTTTATATGTATAACACAAAGTGCTAAAAAAATTTCTGCACAGGTTAATCACATTCTTGTAAGTATTTTTTACTCGCTGACTACTAAGGATTCATATTAGCAAAATCAGATCTACAAGATTATTCCCCAATTACAATGGAATTACTGGACCCTACTGCAGGCTTCAATACTGTATTATAGAAGATTGAAAAACCAAATTATTTTACAAATGATGAATGAGAAGCTGGATATATAAACATCCAGCTACATACAGTACTTCAATGACTAGATGTACTTTGAACTAAAATCACAACCTATTTCTGTATATATATATATATAACACTAATAACAATAAAGACCAGAAAGAAACATTACAATCTACAGGTTTATATTACACGCACACTTACCTACTTGTGGCTGAAAGCAGTCTATTAAATTTAATTACAGATACAGTGGTACTCTTTAATATAAAGCAATTAAACATGATTTATAAACACATTTTAATGTTAAGCTTAAGGACTGTAGTCTACAGGATGTTTCAAGTCACAGTTGGTGAGTAAATTAAATATATTCATTATCCTCGACAATGATTGGGCAAGACCCATTTAACACTAGTGTAGATAATCTTGGTGAATGACTAAACATACCTTCCTCATAAATTACCTGGAACTAATTCTAAAGTTGAGTTTTTATCATTAAATGTCATATACAGTAAACAATTGATGAATATCATAATTTATTTGGGATAAAGATTTTGGCGACTATACATAATCTGTGCAGCAAAATTATTTTTAGACTGCTATCAACTACACACATACTTTGAGAAATGCAGGAGACACCTAAAAACAAAAAGCCTCAGGCAACAAGAAAGCAATATGACTAACTAATGTTACAATACAGTAAAGTACAATACTCTGTACTATACAGCACAAAAATACAAGATAGTACAGCACTGTACAGTAGGTGAACCAAACAACTAAACTATTAGGTCTTATAAGAAGATCGTTCAGATATCTAGATAGTCTGTCCCTTGTAACGACCCTCAAGGGTGAAGTGCTTCCCCACCTGGAGTATTGTCACCGTCTGATCCCGAGATATGCTGGGGACTCAGTTGAATGAAAATGTCCAAAGGAGGGCCACCAGACTGGTGCCTGCACTTCGGTACCTCAGGTACCCAGAGAAATTAGAGCGCCTGTAATTGCATGGCTTACGAATCTACTACAAACGGGCAAGGGGAGACCTAAACGAGGTTTATAAACATCTCGGGGCACTACTCAGTTGAGTGTCCTTACCTGGAGCTGGCGGATGCATGCCCCAAGGTTGAAGCCGCAAGCCCAGAAAACTGTGAGGACAAACTTTTTCAGAGTGCGAGTTGTGAACAGCACAGAGTGTAAGCTCTTTCAAGACCAGACTTGACAAGCAGCTAATGAGCCAATCAGTGGCAAAGAGGTTAAAAATAAAACAGTACAGTATAGCACAATACTTATAACTTAGTCTATCTTAATTAGACAGTCGGGTGGGATACAAGATAATATTCTAGGTTATGACTCGTGAGACAGTCTTCTTGCTCCTCAGATTGTATTTGGACTCAAGTCCCAAACCTTTAAATGGGAATTCGTAAACTAAGTGATAGTTGATGTAATAAGATCAGGAAACTTCCAGTTCTTGCACAGTTTCAGCAACTTTTGCTTGCAGTGTGGTGCATTGGTCATTAGTGACATAGGTGAATTTTATTTACATGGAGGATGTTTGGAGAGTCAAGGTTGCAATTTACCAAATTAACTGTTGAAGAATGGGTTAAACTTTCAGAGAATTATGACCAGCGAGGCATTTCAACTGATTTATAGAAAAGTACAGGTATTATTAGTTTCACTCCCAAAACTGTTGGATGGGGGGGGGATGAGAACTCAAAATTACTCATTTACAAGAGAAATGAAGGTCAAATTTTAACAAATTACACCAAATACCATGGGAAAAGCCTAGATTTCTGGTCAAAAACAAATTGGGAGTGAAACTGCAATTTTACCAAAGTAAAGTACTCTATAGGCCAATGCTTTTCAAACTTTTTGTTCTATGACCCAGTGAAAGATTATCACATACATCTTCAACCCTTTTCCTAGAGGAGTATATCTCATTTCCAACAAGCTAAATTACCCTTATTTGGCATTAATGTTTTAGGTCTCCTGCATCTCTTGGGCATACATACATTTATCTACACATGGAATATAAATGAGATCTGTTATTCAAAAGGTGATTATTTTAGTGAATATTAATACCAGATGGTTCTCAACCATTTACCAGAATCTAAATCATTCAGAACACTAGATTTTGATACCTGTATGTTTGTATTTCATGTGAAGAAATGTGTACAGTACAGGTATTAAAACATTAACAAATATACATGTTCTGACCAATTATGACATTAATAAATAATGCTCACTGTTTAGCTTTTACAGCCATAGTTGATGAGGCAATTGACAAAATGCATTGCTCAGATATAAAATAAGACAATAGTCTACATTATTGCTGTAAGATTGTTCACAGGTGCAATGTACAGTAATAACATTTTCATTGAATCTAATGGTGCATTGTGATTTATCAGTCATGAAACTAAATTATTAAGTGATAACCCCCGTTTAGTTTCTTACGTGTGATAAAAGTGCAGGACGTTATATAGATTGTAGACTTAACTGTGTAAATAGGATCAAACTTCCACTGTTAAAAAAAAACCCTGGTCATATGTAAAAGGTTTCAAACTTATCACAGTACAGTATTGTTAGTACTACTGTACTCAGTGGAGAACAGGAGGGGCTTTTTATCATAAGGTGAGGCTATTGTTGACCACTTATTGTCGTGTGAGAGAAAAGAGCCGGAGTGGAAGTCACAGCAGTCTAGACAAAAGTTGGATGATTTATGGTGAACTGTAAGTACAACTTACAGTAGTTGTGGGCATCCTCTAGTAATTGTTAATGTTAAAAAGTAGTGTTTGTTGGCAGAAGGCCATACTGTCAGTCTGATAACTTTGTGTCAGCTTTATTCCTTTCAAAGGAAGATAAACTGTCAGATTATGTTCTCTGAATCTTCCTGGTCCACAAATGAACATTGGAGTTTTATTTACTATCCCAAGTTCACGTGAATTGTTTTGCAATCAGTTACTTTTGTGTCAATATTTGTTGAGATGTTACAGCAATAGTCTTAAGTATGAGAAGGAAATATAGACAACTGATGTGGTCTCAAGCCTCCTTCCTTGATTTTTAGATCCCCTTTACAGTCGACCCTTGTTTATCTGGATGCTATCTCTATCTGGATCCCATCAACTGAACCATCCACAGCTTACTAGTAGACGACTCCATTGGTATCATCCCTGACAATACTAGAATGATCTAAACTTGTCATTAAGTAACATATATTTCCTATTCATCATCATAAAGTATTTCTATAATATAATTTGAGCATTAAAATGCTTTTAATAGTGTCAGTGTTCAAAAGAAAAAAAAACTGGGGTAATAAGGAAAGCAACATGTGTAGTGAAACGGCCCAATATTGTTCTCAACCATTGTGAAGTCTGCGGTGAGAGGTACTGTATTTGGGAGGAAGGTTGGTTCATAATACCCGACACAGTCGTCAAGATCCCATCAATAACAATGAGATGATGTGCTGTACATGAAGTGTAATGATCACCATTTATAGACAAACTTGGAGTTTCTTGGGAAGAGAGTTAGAATCACATAGTAAGTACACTGTTTAAATTGCACTTTAAGTGCAGAGGCCTGAGACAGAGGAAACAGACCACAATGGAAGACTTACTCTACAGTCTAGAACCAATTTACTTGAATAAATAATCAATTTGTATAGGATATAGAGCACTGTAATATTTTTACATGCTAGTATCATGATTATATACTGTACTGTATAGTATAGTATATCACCATAATAATATACTATACAGTACCAAATATAAACTGTATATCATAATAATATACTGTACATATAGATTTAAGAACTTACAATGATAGTCAGTGTATATTTACAAACATAATATAAATTTAGGACATTCGTACATACTGACAGAAATTACAGTACAGTATATACTGTATAAATGAAATATATAATATATCAATAATCATAACTGTTGGCAGCACATCCCGGCAGTCACGCTCTGATGTCTGGACGATTTCTTTATAAATTATAATTTTCAGGTAAATGAGGGTCGACTGTAGTGCTGTACAGGTATAATGTGGTTGTACTGTTGAGATGTGCAAGTGTCAATACAATGATGAGTAAGTGCAAAGGTGAGGAAGGTGCAAGACTGTGCTCTCTTTGGGCTACTTGTCAAGGCACACTTTTTCAGCTTGGAAGATATGACATCACATTTCAGTAGATTTTGTCACAGCAGTGGGACCTGTTTTCATTGGGTGGTACAGTATACTAATCACACCAACTTCAAATAATACATGGCATCCATCTGAAGTTATAAAAAATTTTACTATCAGGAAGAAAAGCAAAATGAAGATACTTTAAGTCACTTGATAAAATATTAGAGGTAAGAATGCTGCAATATAATTACCTATGTCATTAAACGCATCTACCACCTAACATGTCTTCACAAATGTATAGTATCACACCTCTCAATGAGTACTTTCCTTCCCCTTTTCACTAACATGTAACTTATTGTCTTTACATCTAACTTTACTATTTCATGGAATTACTTTTCTCTGAATATTACTGATCTTAATTGTTGCATAACCTGAGCTTTACCTTAAATACAGTAACACCTTGCTAGCTTCCACCACTTTACTCGGAAACTTCCACTGGCAGGACAGGAGAAAAATTTTACTTGGTTTTCACACTGACTAAAAATGCGCAGGAGTGCAAAACAAGAGGAAATGGCAGTACAAATTATTGAGAAGAGAAGGGCAAATAAAGGAGACCAGAAATAAAGTCAAGAAAAAGGCAAATGAATGCAAAAGGAAAACAGATAAAAGGGTATCACAAGGATATAGATAAGACGCTGTTGTGGAAGGAGATTACTAGGCGGAAAAACCCAAGAAAACAATTGAACATACTGTAGTGGTCAAGAATGAAAGGGGATATTCCACACACAAAAGACAAACAAGAGGGATATGGGAGAATATTTCAATTAACTGAAAAATTTAACAAAGGAGAGATGTGGAGCTACCAGTACCTTGTTTGGAGAGTGTGTGTGTAGGGGAGGGGGGGAGGGTGCTACATTGAAAGAAAAAAGTACAGTACAAGTCACAAGGAGGTGAGACAAGCTGTGAATATGCTAATGAAAGGTTCCAGGAAGCAAAGAATCATTGTAGAAAGATTCAGATTGATAAAAATGCATAAGTGAAAGAATAGATAGCATAACATATTCCCCCAGCAAGAAGGACTAGGTCTATGGTGCTTGTTGGCCCTCCTTAACCTCAGATGCAACATCTCGGTCTAGGTACTACCAAAATGAGAGCTAGAAAAGTATTACTGTAATGTATTTAAGCCTTTTACTGCTACCAGAGTTAAAAGTAAAAAAGTAATGTATAGAACAAGGTGAGCTGATTTACAATGTCACAAAATATGGTCCATGTGTCCAACTAGAAGTAGGTGTACACACTATACCTATCACAATTAGCATATTCTTTGTCAATATCAAGTCTCGATAACATTTACAGTCTTGGTTTACACCCCCACTTTCTTTGAGGGACTTAATCCAAGAAGATGTTGAGTAGCATGAGGTATTTTATTGCAGCTTGCCATGATTAGATTAAAGTATTCATTGCTAATATGACTAAAATCCATCACTTTCTCCATAAAGTAAATAAACTGGTAATGTACAATAGCTAAAACAACTATCTGTGCATACCTTGTGGGAAACAATACAAGACCATGGACGATAAATTTTGGTATATGAGGGCTGTCACTAGTCACACGTAAAATTTTGGAGCATATCGACCCCCACCTGCACAGACAGTTGTTTTAGCTACTGTACATGCTATAATAACTTCTCTGACTTAATGTTCTTTGTGTCTCAAGTCCCACCAATGCCCCTACACCTTTCTTTCCAACCCACTTTATAAAACAGCATTTACATTACTTTCACTTACACTGATTTTTGCCAAGTGCAACATACATAGATATTTTAATTTATTTTTCTCATCAAGAATCCTTCAAAACAATGGATATCTCGTTAACAGAACTCTGGGTAGACGTACAGTGCAGTACTGTATTTGGTTCTAAATACCAGATCCATAATTGTATAATTCATTAGGATTTGGTTTTGAGGTTACAGATGAGAGCATCTCTTCAGATCATGAAATAAACAGCCAGATATGAGAGATGGGTGGAAGGTTATGGTCACCACTGTGCCTGAATTCTAAAACATTGTCAGCATTCTGCCTTACCAGCAATCCCAAATATTATACAGGTATATATACGGTTTATATACTGTATATACACTGAATATAATACTGAACTTTTGGTTGTGGAACACATAATAGTATATTCATTAAGTACAGTATTAAAAAACAGTTACATAACAAAGATCATTATTACATATACAATACAGCACATTAGATAACAATGCACTTCATAAGAACATAGAAAACTAACGCGTACAGAATATAATTACCGTACCAATATAATTTAACAAATAATTTTTAAAACTGAACTTGTCACTGTGAATCATCATCCACCTATGGCATTACAGCTAATATTTACAAGAAACATTACATCTAACAGACTAAAGAAAAACAATATAAAAAATGGAAATTAATATACAAAATTCAGCTTGAGATATATCAATTATTTATACAAGATTTAAATAATTTACATAGTTTAAAACAAGGTGGAGTATAGTTACCATTTTGACTTGTATAGTTGACCCCAAGTCTCCCTCTTACTGCTCCACCTGGGCCTCCTCTTCTGACTCCTGGATCACGTTCTTGTTCTTCTCTGCCTCCAGCTTCTCTTCGTGCGCCTTAATGAACTCTACGACGTGCATGTGTCCAAACTGTTCCGCGTCATCGGCTGGAGTGTGGCCCCATCTAATGATAAGAGATGATCAAGAGTACACAGACTAGAAACAAACCATAAAAAAAGAACACGCACACAAAATGGAATGTCAGTCTCACAGTAAAAATATGGTTATTATACTGTACAGTACTGTGCTTTTCAGCATTTAACCCTATTTCACCATTACAGCTTTCCACATTAACTTGATCCTTTACAAGTGTACACACTCACAGTCTATTAACAAAGCCAGTACAGTATTGTACTCAGGGGCAGATCCAGGAATATCAAAAGGGAGGTGTCCAAGAACTTGTTTTGTTTTTTTATCCTCTTCGCCACTTATCGGCTTGTTAGCCACTTGGGCGATCGGTCACGTTGAGGTGCATAAGCATCTCAGGGGGCACTACTCAAATGAGTGTCCTTACTTGGAGCTGGTGGACGCTCGCCCCACAAGGGGTCACAGCTCAAGATTGAAGAAGCCGCGAGTCCAGAAAACTGTGAGGGCAAACTTTTTCGGAATGAATTGTAAACTCTTGGAACAATCTACCAGAGAGTGTTGTGATGGTGCCGAGTGTGAGCTCTTTCAAGACAAGACTTGACCAACACTGGAGCGGGTTCAGGTACATTCAGGAGCAGGTACTTGCGAACAGTGCGTGACAGAGACGTGACCGATTGCCCGGGAGGCTAGCGAGCCAAGCAGTGGTGAAGAGGATAAAAGTAAATTATTATAACAATAAATACTGACCTATCTTTTGGAGTGGGTGGTACATGACATTTATCCAGGAGGAAGGTGACAGTATCAAGGTGTCCCTCAGCAGCAGCCAGGTGAAGGGCTGTTCTCCCGTCATAGTCGCTCTCGGCCATGTTCAAACCTGCCAGGGCATACCTAAGGAACAATTCTCTCATTAGCTATCACAATTGAAGGATGATGAGACAAAAGAATATGTATGAATGATCATCTCAATATGCCAACAAAATTCCTAAATACTATACAGTGTATACTGTACAGTAGTTGTGTTCTGACCTCACTAGAGGAAAGGTCACGGCAGACTTAGCTCCCGGGGATTAATTGTCAGTAATGGCTAGTGCTACTTGTGAACAGGGCTTTGTCCTTCTCATGGCTGAGCTACTGGCCGAGTTTGTGAAGGTCAAGGAAGAAAACTTGAAATTAGGGAAGTGATAGCGTGGATGAGGGAAGGAGACACGAGACAAGGAAAGCCCGTGTCTGACAAAAACTCAGGCGAATGGAGGGTTGTGATGAGAGGAACGACCAAACTGGTGGTGAGGAAACACACCAAGGATACGACAACAACAGCTAAGTATAAAAACTCCTCTAGTCCTTTGATAGACGAATTGGAAGTTAGCATAGCCAGGGTCAAGGCTGACAAGGAAGGTAAGAAAACCTTAATTGTCAGCGATTCCCAGGTACGGTACCTGGATAGAGCTTTTTGTGGTAAAAATATAAATAGAATGGGGGTGTTTGACAGGATGGACAATATCTTGTCTGGTAATGGGAACAAATCCATTATCTGCCTCAGTGCAGGAGGCAATGATATTGGCCGGTGTAGGAGTGAGGAGCTCCTTGATAAGTTCAAGACAGCTATAGAACGTATTAGGTCGAAGGGAGGGATCCAGGGATCCCTATCATATGTGGTGTCCTGCCTAGAAGGAGAGTTGGCAATGAATGGTTGTCAAGGGCAGTTGGTGTCAACGGCCGTCTTGACACATATTGCAAGTCAATAACAGTCCCATTCATTGACAACTGGGACAACTTCTACGGCAGAAGGGACCTTTATGCTAGGGATGGGGTGCATCTGTCTAGGGCTGGGGTGACAACCCAGGCTGGCTCTCTCGAGAGGGCAGTTCAAAAGATGTCAAAGTTTTTAAACTGCTAGGAGAACATATGACCACAGGGATGGAGGAGACTGCAGTGGGAGCGGGTAAACAAAGTGAAAGGTTGCAGGGAAACAGTGCAAGGAATAATGACAAAACTAAATCAGGCAGGGAGTTAAAACCTAAACGTGACAAAGAGAGGACTTGGATAAGGACTAACTTAAACGTCTACTATGCAAACAGTAGGAATAAGAGAAACAAAATGGATAAATTCAGGGAGTTGGTATGTACCGAAAAAAATCGGTATAAGAGCATTCACCGAAACATGGATAAACTTACTCACGTGAGTTACCTGCCGAATACCAAATTGCAGGTTACAAATTATTCCATACCGATAGGCAGATCAGGAAAGGGGGCAGAGTAGCAATCTATTTAAGGGATAATCTGAAGTGTGAAATAAATAAGGAAATAAAAACTGAACTGAATACATAAACAATTTGGATAGAAATAACCAATGGTACGGAAAAATTAATCGCAGGAGTAATATATAAGACCTCCTAATCCTGATAGAGTTAATGAGCGACTTATTTAGGAAGAAATACGCAGGGCTTCCAGACAAAGTAAAGTCTGTACAGGTATAGTAGGCGATTTTAAATTTAGTTAAATAGATTGGAATGACCTTACGGGTAACTCAGAATCAGAGGATAGCAAATGTAATACCAATTATCAAGAAGGGAGATAGACAACTATCCTCTAACTACCGTCCAATCAGTTTAACAGCAATTGTAGACAAATTATTGAAAGCAATAATTTCAAACTCGTATTCGAAATCACCTGGAGAAGCACAAGTTGATCAATGATTCCCAACATGGCTTCACAAGCGGTCATTCATGTCTAACTAATCTATTAACATTCTTTTCAACCGTTTTCGAATCAGTGGACAACGGGATGGACTATGATGTGGTATATCTTGACCTTAGCAAAGCCTTCGACACATTCCCCACGAAAGGCTAACAAGAAAAGTGGAGGCTCATGGCATTGGAGGATATATTCTAAATGGATTAGGGCGTGGTTACAGGACAGGAAACAGAGAGTGAGCATTAACGGCACTAAATCCGATTGGATTAACATCACTAATGGAGTGCCCCAAGGCTCAGTACTTGGACCATTATTATTCATTATATACATAAACTACATAGATATCGGTGTAGACAGCAACATTAGTACTGTATAAGTAAATTTGCTGATGAGAGTAATACATGGCGTGTAATTAAATCTGACAAGGACTCTGCAAAACTACATGAAGATCTAAAAAAAAAATTTTAATGATCTGAAAAATGGCAGACGAAATTCAATGTGGACAAATGTAAAGTACTTAGTCTAGGAGATGTAAACAGAGAAACCAGATACCAGATGAACAACGATGTTAAAGAGAAATCCGACTGAGAGAAAGATTAAGGAGTAATGATAAGTAGGAATCTTAAGCCAAATAAACTGGGGGTATTTGCTCAAAACAAGGCTAATAAAGTACTTGGGTTCATACAAAGGAGTGTTAGTTACAAAACTAGCGAGGTCATCCTAAAACTATATATTGCGCTTGTGAGACTTTACTTGGATTACACAGTTCAATTCTGGTCATCGCATTACAGAATGGATATAGAATCCCTAGAAAGAATTCAGAGGAGAATGACAAGACTAATCCCAGGCATTAGGAACCTTGAGTACAGAGACAGGTTAAAGAATCTTAATTTGCACTCCCTTGAGAGATGTAGAGTGAGGGGCGATATGATAGAGGTGCATAAATGGAAGTCAGGGCTGAACAAACGGGACAGTACAAATGTACTCAAACTATCCAACCAGGAGCGAACTCAGAACAATGGTTTTAAATTAGACAAATTTAGATTTAGGAATGAGATAGGTAAACATTGGTTTAGAAATATAGTGGATGAGTGGAACAAGTTACCAAACATCATCGTTAACTTGAATACTCTTGATAGGTTCAAATACAGGTTGGATGAATATATGAGCGACAGGGGTTGGGTGTAAATTGGCACACAGTGAGTTTTATAAATGGTCTATATAAGGTCAAACTGTTCACTCGAGATATCATGAAAGCCAAACTACGGCACTTACTTTGGTCTCTTCAGTTTCAACACAATACAGTACCACAAACCTCCTCATTGCTGTGACATCACCAGAACAGGCAGAAAACAGGAGGGAAACAACCTTCTGGCCTCGTGACTCGAACTTCTGCTTGCGTGGGTCCTTCTTGTTGGCAGCGTGACGGAGGTTGTCGTATCGGTGGAAGTTGAACACCTGCACCAATTCCTGCAGATCCATAAATCCATGTTAATCCAGTATAGTACTTCATGTGGGTATTAAACAACATCAACACCGAGAAATATATATTCTTTGATTTTAACAATGAGGACTTCCAGCTCATGAGGGGCTTATAAGAGAAATGGTAATGGGCAAAGTTGAGGGTAGGAGGGGTCAGGGGAAAGCAGAGACGGAGATGAATGTATAAAATTAAAAACTAGGTCCCCATTGAGATGTGACGTATCAGAGGATTGGTAAAAACAGCCAGAGAATGTATACAGTGGAGGACTGTGTTCGCCAACCCTCAGATATAATTGATTTACTTCTCACGACATAAAAAAAAATAGTACTGTATCATTTTCTTTGTGGGAATTAAAGAAATATATAAATATATATTATCTACTTCTTAAACTCATTGCGGCATAAACACTGTTCCTATCATGAGGTGTAAATGAATTAGCCAATAACAGCCATTATTTGTTACTGCATACATACTTCTTTCTCATGTAACAATGGTAAATAGTTTATTTAATTCATTGTTTATTATAAATATACCTCCACCCCCCCCCCCTCAGGTTACACGGTACACGCATGCTACACCGTACACTTGAAGCCGCCCACACCAACCACCAGTCCACCACATTTGCCATCTTTATTTAAATCCTCTGTTGGCTTACATCTCTATCTGCTCAGTTTCTTGAAGTGCAAACTATTAATAGCAAGATTATTATCAACTTCAGAGAGAGAATTTCTATTCTGAGGGTGAAATATAACAGTTTACCGATCTATTTAAGCGACGGATTTGAAGCGCGGGAAAAATAGTCCGATTCACGTCACGCTTATACTAAAAATCTTTGTATATTTGTATCTCCTAAAAGACCAAAACTACTATTTACTACACCATAAAACTAATATTTACACCCCACAATATATGCATCAATACCGTAAGTTATTTAGCTGTACTGTACAGTATCGTGGTTAAACAGCTGCACAAAAATAAATGCCTTACAAAAAATTACACATGTTATTCTTGGACTAATTCATATTTTTTTCTGTAACTCACCAATACATTGAAACTGTCGGGTTAATTTGTGTTTAATATAAACAATTTACAAGGGCGGGTTTCCTTTGGATGGTTATTCCAGGTAAAATTTTGTTTATCGGTACAGTACACACACACACACACACACACACACACACACACACGCACGCACGCACGCACGCACGCACGCACGCACGCACGCACGCACGCACACACTACAGCTATGAGCCAAATATGGTTATAACGTCAAATTATATGCTTAATTTAAGTTAATATATCCTTACTGCTCTGTTAACAACTTGTATTGCCTTTAACAATACCAAATCGTGGGGTAAAAACATGCAAAATACTGCCCACATCTAATGAAACCTAACCTATCTTTGTCTTGGCAATTTTGAATAGTTTCGTGAAAATAAGTGTTTATAATCACACTTATGGCAGTTAAAATCACACTTTGAACACTTTACGGAACTTTATGAAACACCATACGCCTTGAAAATGTCAATAACGGCGTTACAGTACTTACAAAACACGTTGAATGTACAGTACTGCACTGGAAAGATATATATTTGAGACGAAAACGCTGTAGATTAAAGTATTCTTAGTATTGTTTGTTCTATCCCCTCTATACAAAACAATATATAGTTCTGTGGTCGTACTCTACTTAATCTTAAACATTTTTATTTTTTAATTTATTTCTTTGGTGAATTTATATAATATGTGAATGTATGAAACGAAAGTATAAGGGGTAAACTCCTCATGGTAAAGGGAAGCCACACTGTATATAAGAGCATCGGTAAAGGCTGGAGAAATACATGTTATAAACTATCATATAGCATTAGGTTTAAGTTTATAATTTATACATTCACACACCCGAATACTACTCACAATTCGATACACCTAGACTGACTAACTATCCAAAAAAAGAACGCAAAGTATTTAATTAATCTTAAAATACTCCTTGCTGTACTTTACAACTCGAGGGCTATTTTAATGCACCAGCGGGTATAAATGAGACACTTAGGAATGCTTAGAATATTCATCTATTTTAAATGTTCCTACGTCAGAAGGTGTGTGTGTGTGTGTGTGTGTGTTAGGTATGCGGGTACTACTATTATCATTACTTTGCACAACAACCATTTACTATACCACCACTATCACACCTAATAACCACCATTCTTACCTACCACCACTATCTATTAGCATGCCTACTATCTATTTCCTACTACCACGCCCACCTACCATTCATCCACCAATCATAACCACTTCCGCCGAGCACCACCAGAATGCCCACCACCCATCTCTACCTCCCCCACCGCCCACCTACCATTCATTGACCCAACCCGCCACCACAATCGACGCCCACCATTACCATATCCGCTTAGCATTACCACAACCCACCACCACCCTCCTCACCACAGCCCACCACCACCTTCACCACAGCCCACCACCACACTCACCATCATCACCACATCCCACCACCATCATCACCACCCACGAAGCAGCGTCAATCCTGGAGGTGTAGACAACGATACAAAAATTCCGGAGGCTCCCTTAAAACATTTCCTGAGTCACGGGGTTATTTATAATGTTGCTCAGCTGAGGCACCACCACTACCCCTCACCTTCACCCCCCCCTTCTCATCACACCTCCCCTCCTTCCTGCTCTCTCTCTGCCTGTGGAGGCCCCCAGTGATAGACCCTGCTGCTCCCCCACCCAGTGATAGACCTGCCACTCTCACCCCACACTCCAGTGATAGACCTGCCACTCCCCACCCCTCAGTGATGAGCCCTGCACTCCCACCCCACACTCAGTGATGAGCCCTGCTCCCCACCCCACTCCAGTAGGCCTGCCCTCCCCACCCCACACTCAGTGATAGGCTACTTCCTCCCCTCCACACTCCCAGTGATAGGCCCTGCCACTCTCACCCCACCTCCAGTGATAGACCTGCCTCCCCCACCACACTCGTGAGCCTGCCTCCCACCCCACACTCCAGTGATAGACCCTGCCACTCCCCTTCCTCCAGTGATAGGCCCCACCACTCCCCCACCCCACACTCCAGTGATGGGCCTGCTCCCCCCACCCCACACTCCAGTGGAGCCACTGCCACTCCCCCCACCCCACCTCCAGGCTGATAGACCCTGCACTCCCACACACACTCAGTGATGGGCCCTGCCACTCCCCCACCTCCAGTGATGGCTACTGCTCCCCACCCCCACTCCAGTGATAGACCCTGCCACTCCTCTTACCTCCAGTGATAGACCCTGCCACTCACCCCACACTCCAGTGATAGATCTGCCACTCCCCACCCCACCACGCCAGTGATGACCCTGCTCCCCCACACTCCAGTGATAGGCCTGCCACTCCCCAACCTACCACTCCAGTGATGGGCCTCCTCCCACACCCCCACACTGGTGACAGACCCTGCCACTCCCCACCCCACACTCAGTGATCAGACCCTGCCACTCCCCACCCCACCTCCAGTGATGGGCCCTGCCACTCCCCACCCCCACACTCCCGGTGATGGGCCTGCCACTCCCCACCCCCACACTCAGTGATGAACCCTGCCACTCCCCACCTACACTCCAGTGATAGACCCTGCCCTCCCCCCACCATAAACGTCAAGAAACGCCTTAAAATGGACACTTCCCACTTTTATAACCGACAAGAAATACTAAAATGTCGCCAGGAATTACCATAAATGTCATTCTTTTTGGAGCTTTCACGAAAAACATTCAATATAAACATACCTAAGACACTAACATTAACACATTCTATTAAACAAAAACACTGTATTTCACAAGCAAACAATAACAATCATCTAAAGGCACAGTGACGAGATAGATGACTGGATAAATGAACCGACAATGAACCAATCAAAATCGCCCTTACAAGCGGACACAGCAAGAAGATCCAGCGTGTAACATAGGAACTTACCTCCCTATCTCTCACAGAACTTCCCTCCCTATCTCTCACAGAACTTACCTCCCTATCTCCCACAGAACTTACCTCCCTATCTCTCACAGAACTTCCCTCCCTATCTCTCACAGAACTTCCCTCCCTATCTCCCACAGAACTTACCTCCCTATCTCTCACAGAACTTACCTCCCTATCTCTCACAGAACTTACCTCCCTATCTCCCACAGAACTTACCTCCCTATCTCTCACAGAACTTCCCTCCCTATCTCTCACAGAACTTCCCTCCCTATCTCACGCAGAACTTACCTCCCTATCTCACGCAGAACTTACCTCCCTATCTCCCGCAGAACTTACCTCCCTATCTCTCGCAGAACTTACCTCCCTATCTCTCGCAGAACTTACCTCCCTATCTCTCTCACAGAAACCTCCCCATCTCCTAACCCCTTACCTCCTCTCACAGAACTTCCCTCCCTATCTCCTGCCAGAACTCTCCCTATCTCACACAGAACTATCTCCCAGAACTTCCTCCTATCTCACACAGAACTTCCCTCCCTATCTCACACAGAACTTCCCTCCCTCATCTCAGAACTATCTCCTTACCCCTATCTCTCACAGAACCCACCTCCCTCTCTCACAGAACTTAATCTTACCTCCCTATCTCTCACAGAACTTCCCCTCCTTATCTCTCACAGAACTTCCCTCCCTATCTCTTCCTCCCTATCTCTCAGAACTTACCTATCCTCCCTCACAGAACTTACCTCCCCTACCTCCCTCACAGAACTTACCTCCCTATCTCCCCACAGAGAACTTCCCTCCCTATCTCTCAGCAGAACTTACCTCCCTATCTCTCACAGAACTTACCTCCCTATCTCTCACAGAACTTACCTCCCTATCTCTCACAGAACTTACCTCCCTATCTCTCACAGAACTTACCTCCCTATCTCTCACAGTACTTCCCTCCCTATCTCCCACAGAACTTACCTCCCTATCTCCCACAGAACTTACCTCCCTATCTCTCACAGAACTTACCTCCCTATCTCTCACAGAACTTACCTCCCTATCTCTCACAGAACTTACCTCCCTATCTCTCACAGAACTTACCTCCCTATCTCTCACACGGTAAAACTTTCCAACTTACCTCACAGAATTTAAGTCCTCTGACGGAGTTGCCAAGGAGATCAAGGGGAGGAGACCACGTACATATCCCCATCACGTTAGGAATCACCAGCATGATGGCGCCACACACACCTGACTTGGCCGGCAGCCCCACCTACAACAACAATAAACAACATCAATAATAATAATTAGACTCCTGTAATATACCTGTTAATTAGATACCTGTAATATACCTGTTAATTAGATTCCTGTAATATACCTGTTAATTAGAACACTTGTTAGCTCATTGCGTCTGTTTTAACACTTGTAATAAATATCTAAAGACAGAAAGAAAGAAAGGCAGGCAGACAGACAGACACATGGAAAGTGAAAATTATATAGGTATTAATCACAAACTCACTCGCCTGTCCCACACTACCAGGACAAACTGACTTCCTTGGACCTGCAGTGATGTGTGTGTGTATGTGTGTGTGTGTGTGTGTGTGTGTGTGTGTTGAGGGGTAGGAATGTGTTAATGGGTATTGGGAATGGATGTGTAATGTTAAAGGGGCTGGGATGTGTCAAGGAATAGGGATGTGTCAAAGGGGTAGGGATGTGTCAAAGGAGTTGGGATGTGTCAAAGGAGTTGGGATGTGTCAAAGGAGTTGGGATGTGTCAAAGGGGCATTACCAGTCTCCCACAAACCCACCTTGAACGCGAACTGCCCCGAGTAGTCATACATCCCGCAGGAGTGCATGAGGGAGAGCACATCCCGGACGGCGTAAGGCTTCAGCACCTCCTCGCCCGTGGTAGGACAGATCCCGCCGTTCGCCAAAGTCGCCGCCATCACCGCCACACTCTCCGCTGTCACCTCCATCGAGCAGCTCTGTTAAACCAAGAGCAAAACACCCGTTATAATGAAGAATTCTATTTAACGGACTGTATGCAGAGGAAAGTTCGTTATATCGAGGGTCCGTTATTGTGTAGCCTCCATTTAATAAAGTATATAGAGGGAAATCCGTTATATAGAGGTGTCCGTTAATGTGAAGCCTCCATTTAATTAAGTATATAGAGGGAAATCCGTTATATAGAGGTGTCCGTTAAATATGAAACCCCCATGTAACGGATTATATGGACAGAGAAGTTCGTTATATAGAATACTGTATAGTCTCTGTATCCAATCTCACACGTGTTATTTAAGTCAATTAGTTGTTGGCCAATAAACATTATCCTTACAATAAAAATATATACTGTATTTATAGTAATTTTTAAACAATAACAGTAAACACTATATTAACCTACATTTTATCATCTTTACACACAAACACACACCATCACTCTGTTTACTGTACTGTAAGCTTTTCATGCGTTTAAATAATTCCCAAAAGCTTAACTCCTACAAAAAAAAGCATTAAAGCTTATAATCCGAGATCTGGGAAACACTTAACCTACTCTCATGAATATATTATACATTACCAGGTTATAATTATTAATACACACTCGTATAAACCCAGGTAACCAAGCCTCGTATATCATGTGTGTCGCAGGGTATGACACACTGCGCCACTGACCTAAAATATAAACACCGAACACATGTTGACATCGCTTCTTGTGATGGATGGCGGGCCAGGGGAGACGAGCTCAAACTAATAATAATAATAATAATAATAATAATAATAATAATAATAATAATAATAATAATAATAATCCCTTAGCACTACCAGTCAGGATATGAGGATGTAAACAGAAAAGGCAAGAAAGAAGAGACTAAGGAAGATATAAAAATGAGAAGTGATGGAATGGGATGACACTAACGAGAAAAGGAAGATGAAAAAAAGAGGAGAGGAGAAGAAAAAGGAAGAGATGAAAAAGAAAGGAGATGAGAGGAAGGGGGGGATGCGACAAGGGAGGGGGTTAAATACTTGCATGGCTTGGTTGAAGGAAGGGAGGAGGAGGGAATGAGCCGTGAGATATATGACAGTTTAATAAAGAGGTGGGGAAAGAATCTGACTTCCCCCCCACTGTATGTCTGTCTGTATGTGTGTGTGTGTGTGTGTGTGTGTACTAAGGAGGGAAGGAAGGAGGGTACGGAGGGAAGGAGGGTATGAAAGGAGGGAAGATTAGCACGGAGAGGAGGGCACGGAGGGAGGGAAGAGGAGGGTAATGAATGCGTATAACGAACATCTCCCAGCACAAGAATACGACGGGCTTAAGTTAATACAGTATACCACCCTTCACTCCCTCCCTCCTTCCCTTCATTTCCCTCCCTCCCTCCACCCATCCCTGGTGAATAACTGGGTGATGGATTACCGAGAAATTTGACGAGTAACACAATAACTTGGCGAGAAATTACAGAACTAAACGAACGAACGGACATAGTATAACAGACATAACGCAAATCCCTAATAATACAACACCACCACATCCATTTATTCTCACTGCACGAAATAAAATAAGAGACAGACAGATACACAAGTCACCCCGTCATGCGCCAGAATGTCATAACGCGCCAACACACCAGACAACGGCGTCAATGTGCCTTCCTTCTGGGCGCTTCCCTCGAGTCACTTGTTATTTCTGCCTCGACCGTTGTACCGTCATCACACTCACACCTCGAGGAACAGCGCACTTGGCAAGAGGTTATCTCCTTAAACTCGCGTACGAGGATGGCCGACCCTAGGGTCACCTAGGGGTGAATTTGTTTAAGGTGTAGAAGCTGTCGCCAGCACAAAAACCACATCCTGAGTTAACTAAGTTAACGAGCTGCTTGACCCAGTGTCAAGGCATAGTCCGAGAAGGCCGGACAACTCGCCAACTGCACTGGCTAACCATTACCCCGGAACACGATCCGCAAATTGATTAACATCCAGGTTCCCAATTACTGCTGGGTAGACAGAGGCAAATGGCGTAAAGAAACTTGCCATAGTTTCACCCTGCTCGGGGATCGAACCCGGGTCTGCTCGCTTGCGAGGCGAGCGTGCTGACCATTAAACCACAGGTCGCCGACGTTCTCTTGAATGTAAATCGGAAATAAAAGCGTCAAATACATTATATGTTTATAATTTCCAGTTCGTATTATACACACACTATTCTATACACATTAACATCCCATTTATTCAAAGTATTTAATAAGATTTACCCGAGCCAAATTCCTAACACCGACATGTGAAAAGAAACACAATTTTCCACACGCATCGTCACCAGCCTGAGTCACTTAACTAACTTCCTAACTAACTGGCTGCAATATATTATCACCATTTACGGCTTTAACCTGCATGGACAACAATAATATTCACTGGTTAAGGTCGATTTATTACTGTATACTGACAACAAACTGCGACACCCTCCCTCCACCCTACTCTTCCCTCCCTTCCTCCACTCCTCCTAACCCCCCCCCACCCTCCCTCCTTTCTTACCTTCCTCCCTCCACCCTACTCTTCCCTCCCTCCTTCCTTCCCTTACCTCCCTCCACTAACACGATAACCTGCACCCTCCTCTTCACTACGTTGTATTTAAACCAACAACATTATACCTTTAACATTACTAGTATATCGTTCACTCGGTCAACAAGTTTATTAACAAGATGCTCCCAGGAACAGTATTTGATTATAATGATGTTATTCTTGGCTTGTTTATGTTGTGGGGTACAGAGAGAGAGAGAGAGAGAGAGAGAGAGAGAGAGAGTGCCGAGTTAGAGAGAGGATGCCGAGTTAGAGAGAGGTGGGGATGCCGAGTTAAGATGAAGCAATTTTTCACTCAGTTGCCTCTCCATTTGGCGACTTAATTAGACATAACATTGAGATACGCGCCCACCTCCACCCCCCCCTCCCCAAAAAAAAAACTTCATTTAGTTTATACAGGTTAAAAAAAAAAGACCATACAGAACACAGTCAAATGAAGACCTTTTTCCTTAATCCCCAGGTGACTTAACACAAACATCAAGATTATTATATACGACAAAGACCTGAGAAAGTCTTCCTTAATGGCAGTAATATAGAAGGTAAAGATGTACAGTAATATATAATTATGGACAGGTGAGGAGTTACCTTTATATACACGAGCTATATTAATGAACCCTGTGTAATGTAGTTATGATGACTGTTGTTGTTGTAGTTGTTTTTGCAGTTGTTGTAGTTTTAGTTGTTGTAGTAGTTAGTTTTTGTTGCTGTCGTAGTTAATATTATTGTTGTTGTTGTTGTTGTGCTTGTTGTTTCATAGCTACGAGTAAGGAGGTCACACGGGCGGAGCTGACAACAGGGGATGGTGGCACAAGACATGACAACACCACGTTTTCGGCACAAAGTCCTCCTGCCATCAATAACTTGTTCATTTGGCAGATGTGGGAAGTAGGTTAAAATCTCCCACTCCCCTATACCACCCCCACTCCCTATACCCTCCACCACTCCCTATACCACTCCACCCCCCACTCCCTATACCACTCCACCCCCCACTCCCCTATACCCCTCCACCCCCCCTCCCCTATACCACTCCACCCCCCCTATACCCTCCACCCCCACTCCCCTATACCACTCCACCCCCCACTCCCATATGCCACTCCACACTGACAGACGAAGCTTTGATCAAGCCCCTAAACTCTCTCGTGATAATGGGACGTGAAGGAAGCTATCTGTGTGTGTAATAACAAACTAGGGATTTACAGAGCTTGAAATGGCTGAGGCGAGGCGAGGCGAGGTGAGGCGAGACAAGAGAAAGGGGGAGTTAAAGAGAAGAAAGGGAGGGGGTGGGGGGGTGAGTCTATGTTTGTCTTGGGGGAAACACAACCATGACAATACAGGTCGTCACCCCAAGCGTAATTATTCCTGACTAACATTACGAGAGAGAGAGAGAGAGAGAGAGAGAGACTGAACTGCAAACCCATAACTAACACACAGTCAACTATCACGACACACACACACACTACCAATCTACATATATACGCCCACACGAACCCACACACACACACCGCCTATTGCTGCCACAACACACATGATAATAGTTTATAAGGCGCCTCTCCCCCACCAATATTTACATTGGAGGCTAACCAAGTCTCTCTCTCTCTCTCTCTCTCTCTCTCTCTCTCTCTCTCTCTCTCTCTCATCTGTTCTTGGCCTACACAATAATGTTCTACTTCGTCAAATAACTATACAATGTACACAAACACAATATCTCTATGTAAAAACACTGACTAGACCTCAGGTAATAACCCGGAGAAAGAAACAGATATACACTCTTGAGACTAACTGGGTTCTGTTCTAGTACATGGTGGTGAAATATCAAGCAGTTGGTAGACTTCATTTAACGAGTCGAGCGTGTAGGGTCAAGGGTAGACCTGTTTTGTTCTGGTGCTTTCACAAATGAGGGATGATAATGATAATGATAATGATAATAATAATAATAATAATAATAATAATAATAATAAATAAAATATTAATATTATTAGTGAAAACTTCCATATAACGGATTTCTCCAGATAATCCGTTATATGAGGGTTTCACATCTAATCGACACTCAGTATAACGGACTTTCATCTCTGTATAGTTCGTTAGATGGAGGTTTAACATCTAACAGACCCTCGATATAATGGACTGTATTATTATTATTAGGTAAGGGATATCTTCACTAGTGTTTGTTGGTGCGTTAAGCTGCCGCCAATTTCACACAAATTAAAAGGACTGTTTATTCTTTGTTTATATTGTGATGGTGGAGCCCCCTGGCGTCCGTGTTGGCAAGTGTCACCAGTAGTCAACACTATACTCAGTTATTATAGAGTGGTGAGGGAGTGACGGAGGGACGGGAAAGGTCATACTGTTCTACCGCTTCTGGAAGTCTCTGGCATCTGCTTCACGTAAATAATAATAATAATAATAATAATAATAATAATAATAA